AAGCTGAAACTAGCAAACAACAATTGCGTCACGCCTTGCACCACATTGCGCCGGGTGTATGATAGGGCTATTGCTGTTTCATGTGTCTAGTACAGGGGTCTCAAACTGCCGGCTTGCGGGCTATTTGCTCATATCGTCACCTTAGAATTATAAGGTTCTATCTGACATTTTAGTCAAAATTGAGTTAACATTCTTATTAAATAACATCTTATTAACATTACAGGATGTTTTTTGATAAGTTGTTTAAATTTTTATTTAAAAACAAATGTTACACACATGCTGTCTGCTATGGAATGCAAAAACTTTGAAGCTCTGTATCTCCAACTCATTCAGAACGCAGACAGAACCATATAATTCTAAGATGACGATATGTCAGGAGCTTGACTGCATAAACTCTGGAAAAGAATGTCTGAGTGCATCAGTGACATCAGGTTTTACACTTATTTTTTTTGCTGTGCTTGAATGTTAAAGCAACCCTCATATGAATTGTCAGTCACTGATATGCCCCCGCCAATTTGAGTATGAGACCCCTGGTCTAGTATGTATCTTGATTTTTTTTTTGGTTTGAAAACAGGCTAAAACTACTAAGTTAGTTATTATTATGATTTTAATAGCCCAAGGATGTTCAAGAACAACATGTTTGTGCACTTTTTAAAGATTTTAGTTCTGTTTTTGAATAAAGGGTTGTAAATTAATAATTTTCTTAAAAAAAAAATCTGTTTCATCAAATAATCCAAAAAAATAAATAAATAAATAATCGACAGATCAGTCGATTATTAAAATAATCGTTAGTTGCAGCCCTAAAAAGTACATTTAAGTGTGCAACAGAAGAGTACGCAAACTTTGGCACATACTCCTTCCTCATTAACTGAACACTATGTTGTTCCCCTTTCAATCATCTCCACACATCATCCACATTTCTTTCATATTTAATTCCCTACATTATTGGAGATTCAGCTGAGTGTTAATCTGCTATTCTCAAGTCTTTCATGCAGAGAATCTCCTCAGGTCTTCGCATAATAATCATTTGTGTAGCGGCAGTAATAGAGCAAATGAATGCTGGAAAATAGTAAAATACTAAAAGAAAAGGAGAAAACTAACAGTCCAGCTTACAGAACTAAAATGCCCATCAGTGCTTCACACCCCAGTCCAGCAGGTGACAGTAGAGCACCTTTAATGCTGATCCACCACAAAACATCTACAGAAGAAGAGTCCAGTGGAGGAGCTCCAGACTTCTGTTCTGTGTTTACTTTATTATTAAAGTTTTTGCTTCTAAATGGGCGAGTTTGATCTACGAGTACAGTAATAAAGACAAAGAATAAATCTTTAGTAACTTAATATAGCTTAACTTCATTTTTTACTTGCTTATAAAGGACTCAGGGTTATAATTCAGTCAGGAAAGCGTGAAATTTGCATCTTACTCCCTTAATCTTGCTTTTGTGCGATACCCTCTAAAAATATGAACTCTTAAAGAAGAAAAGTAACATAATTAAGGACAGAATCATACCTGTTTATGTATGAAATATCAGCTGAAATAACAAAGTCCAGCGTTCCTGATCGCTTCTGTAAAGGAATGTACAGTTGAGCCCCAATATATACTGAATAAAGGCAAGCAGCTGAAGTGTCCGTCAGATAAACAGTCTGGCAGCAGAAGGTTCAATATAAAAGCTGGAGTGTGTTGTCGTGATTTCTTCAGCACTGAACCTCCACACGAGTTTTCCTTGCTCTGAGCTTTTACTCGGATAATGCCTCTGCTAACTGTGTGCTCAGCACTACTGCCATCTAGAGGACAATAACAGCAGCATCCACTAATCGCCACATCCCCTTTCATTAGAGAGAAAACATCATCTGCAGAGCACAAACAACCGATATACAACATAAAACTCTCTAATTGTGACTAAAAGACCTTCACACATTTTAAATATAAGTGCCCACATAAAAAATAGTAATAAATACTATAAAGTGTTTTACTGTAGTAAAGTACATGAATGAATCTGTTACTGATAAAAGCAGCGCTTAATTTGAGCCAGATCCTGTGCTCAATTTTTCCCAGCAGTGCTTTGCTTCGTTTATGGCCGATTGTAAGTTCACGCTGGTGACGCCATCATGTGGTTTGTATTTGAATGGCGGAAGGCGGGAACACGTGTTCGAAAATAGAATCCAAACCGCAGAATGTTGATAAGAGGATGTCAAAGGTTCTGGTGTATTTCCGGCTATTTCCGCAAGATTTGTGAAGTACTTTAATCGTTAATATTGGCCACAATACTATTATGTGTTGGAGGCGAATCGATCAGAACTACATAATCTGAAGTGTAAACAAACTACAAACATGGCGGACGAGCGGGCCCAACCGTCAAAAAGTAGAGGCTTAGGTAACATTGTGTGAATGACTATTAATTAACATCTAGCCGAGTGGAAAATATTTAAATTGTGTTTTCCGCGTTATATTTCCTCAGCAACAATAATGTCAACTAATATAAAGACTTGTTTGGACATTACCTTCTGAATGTTATCCTAACACCTGAAGAGATTTTTCAGCATGAAAGACTGGTGAATGGCAGATTAACCTGCTGTTGCTTCTCCAATATGGTAGGCAACTAAATATGTAAGAAATGTGGATGATGTGTCGAGATGACAAGAATTTAGTATAAGAATAAGGACACAGTAAATGAGTTCAGTATGGAGAAGATTGGACTCATTTTAAATGTAAAAATTAAAAAAAAAAAAAAAAAGAGTAGACTGGCACTTTCATTTCTCTTCTTCCCCCCCTGTATTTCTTTGATTTCTTCTCTTTACTGAGGTGTTCCTATCTTGTTTTGTAGATCTGTATCACAATGAGAGATTATCTTTGCTTTTCTGCAGTTGACATCATGTGTCATAAGTAAACATCTTCAGGGTGGACATGCAACACAGAAAACACTTTAAATGTTAATATATTTTACTGATATGATGTAATAAAGCAGCAGAAATCATTTAGCATTATAAGAAAATTAGTTTTATAATAATATAAACTAATACAAATAGTTTTTACAATAAAGTTTTAATAATACAAGTCAACATAACTGCAATACATGAAATAATGACTATGAATATTTTTCTGATAAAACCAAGCAATTATGGATGGAAAATCATCATTCAGATAGAAATCCACCATTCAGTGATCTCTTACACCCGTGTTGGTTTGTGTCGTTAAAATGTACACTGTATTTATTTTTATTGTTTAGATATTGCCTAATTAAAACACCTCAGGAGCCCCAACATCACTCTACACCCTATCATTTCCTCTAAATCGCACAAAACTTGTGTCATTCACACAAAGCAGCACAGAAGAATGACACCAGTTTTGTGATTAAGAGAAAATGCAGTGGAGAGTGACATCATGACTCTCGAAATATTTTGCTCATATCTAAACGAAGTAAACAGATACAGTGTTTGTTTTAACGGCTCAAACCCTCACAAATCGAGCACAAACGACCTGTACTGATTTGAAGTCATTTGAGCAACAGGGGGTGAAAAGTGACGTCACACGGTCAAAAAAAAAGAGCTTCATATTAAACCAATACAAACGTTCGTTTTTGCGGCACAAATCAGCACAAATGAATGGCAGAGTTTTGGGATTATTTGTTTTTATGGGGAAAAACAATTTAACGAAGGTTCAGCACCTGGTTCTGGGACATGTAGTTTGGGCAAAATTAAAAGTCAGGCGAGGAGGACCTCTGCTGGTGAGGGGAGTCTTTGGGACCGAACCGGCCACAGGTTTACCCAGGAGGGTTCCTCTGGATTATAGCCCTCTCAGTCTATTATGGCCTGTTTCCACTGAGTGGTACAGTACGAGTCACCTTTGTCTTAAATCTTCTCCAGCACATGTAGCCTCTGTTAGAGAGTTTCAGAGTCAAAACACACACACACACACAAACACGGGAGAAAGTGATGGTATATCTGTAGTCTAATTATTTGCCAGATTATTAAATGGTGGACTTTAACTGTAGTTTGGCTCTTTCATTCAACGAGATATTTGATTCGAGGAACTGCTGTAAGCGTGTATTTTTCATGCAATTTTTGATACCGCACGGCAAATGAGAGAAAAAAAACCCTCTGCATTTCCCGGAAACTTAGATGCACGCGGCAGGTAGTGTCAGAAAGCCGCGTGTGTTATTCCGGTCACAAAATGCAGCGAAAATCCTACACGAGGTTAAAGTTTGGTTGTGATGCTAACATGTTTACACTCGGTGCAATAGTTAACTTAGTTCGATACGAACAAACTGAATAAACAAAGAGCACTGGTCACTCACTTACCAAATCTGTAGAGACAGGACAATCACCAGCAACTAGAGCCGCGTCTTTATGAAGAGGAGACTACAAGCGAATCCGGATCTCAGCGTTTGCAGATGAGAACAGCTCTCAGGTAAACAATAATCCTCCTTAGACACGCAAGTTATTGTTGTCGCGCATCGCGTACACTGTTAATCCACACGTGACTCCAGCTGCGCTCTCACAGAGAGAAAATGAAAACAAAACGTAACTGCAGCAAACTATAAAAGCAACACTTCACGCTTGTTTTGCCAACACAACGTGGCGTCTCTGTCGTCTAAACACTGTGACAGTAATGAATATTAATGAAGTTGCACAATAGAGCGCGCTGATTGGTTTGAACCAAGCCTTACTCATGCATTAATGCAGCACACTGTAAGACGTAATAAGACTCACTCTGGCACAGACGTCCAGTCTACATGCTGGAATACACGCTATTATGTCATGACCGTGACGCAGCTTCAAAAATTCGTTTCAAACCGGAAGTACGAATTTACTTGAAATAACGCAAAAACAACCAATTTACACTTTTTAGTGAAATATATGTGTCCTAATAGTGTTTTTAGCAGTGTGGGACACATATACGACTGTCAACAGTTTAAAAAATGTGTTTTGGTGTTTCGTGACCCTTTAAGGTTACTCTCAGACTCTTGTGTGTTATTCAATGTTTCTGACTGACTGAATCTCACTTGTGTCTCTCCATTGTGAGTCCTCTCATGTCTTTTCTGGCTTTCCAACCGATTGAATCTTTTGTCGCAGTGTGAACACTTGTAAGGTTTCTCTCCAGTGTGAATCCTCTCATGTGATTTCAGATGTGGTAACTGATTGAATCTTTTGTCACAGTGTGAACACCTGTACGGTTTCTCTCCCGTGTGAATCCTCTCATGCAATTTAATTTGTGATGACTGACTAAATCTCTTGTTGCAGTGTGAACACTTGTATGGTTTCTCTCCAGTGTGATTGCTCTCATGTGTTTTCAGGCTTATTAAATGACTGAATCTTTTGTCACAGTGTGAACACTTGTACGGTTTCTCTCCAGTGTGAATCCTCTCGTGTGTTTTCAGGCTTCCTAAATGATTGAATCTTTTGTCACAGTGTGAACACTTGTAAGGTTTCTCTCCAGTGTGAATCATCTTGTGTATTTTCAGATATGGTAAATGACTGAATCTCTTGTCGCAATATGAACATATATAAGGTTTCTCTCCAGTGTGAATCATCTGGTGTTGTTGTAAGCTTGTAGATGTAAAAAAAGTCTTCCCACACTCAGAGCACACATACTCTCTCACACCGGTGTGGATCTTCTGATGTCTTCTTATATTTACTTCACTTGCAAAACTCTTTCCACACACAGAGCATGAAGGCTTCTCAGTTGCATGAACTATAAGGTGAGCATTCAGGCCTGAAGCCAACAGAAATGATTTTCCGCATTGACCACATGTGTGTGTTTTCTCTCCAGTGTGGATCAACATGTGTCTATTAAGGCCTGATGAGTCTCTGAAACTCTTCCCACACTGAGAACATGTGAATGGTCTCTCTCCAGTGTGGATCCTCATGTGGGTCTTGAGATTTCTTTTGTTTGCCAGACTCTTTCCACACTGAGTGCAGGTGACACGTTTTCTGTCTTTTCTCTTCGGTGATTTTGTTTTTCCTCTCATTTTAACTTGGGGTGTCTCCTCCATCAGGCCTGAAATAAAAGTGAAAAGACATACAAGTGATGTAAAAAAAAATTATAGATAACAACTATAAAATCACGATTAGTCACCTTCTTTATATAAATATTGAATATTTGCCCAAACTATTTTCCTTCATTCATTCACTTTCAACAGCTGCTGTAACACATTGAGCCACTAAACACTGTTCTTATGATGTTTTTCTACAGGAGGAAAATGTGAATTACTTCCAAACACTTCAACTATAGTCTGTGTTAGTAAATGCAAGACTATTGATGAAATCCAGGCAGGACACTGTAGGACAACATTTAACTGTTCTAGAGTCTACAGCTAATCAATCTGTCAGATTCTGGAGTGCATCACAGCTCTAAGAGGAAAGAGGAAAAGGCAGAGAAATCTGTGTGACCCTACTCATCCAAGATTAGGAATGCAATGATTATAGATTTTGATTGTACGATTATAGTCTGAGGAATAATCACGGTTATCACGATTTTTATGCGTTCACTAATTTCAAAACACTACTAGTTTAGAAAATCAGATAAAAACTACTTATATTTACAGTGTTTTTAATAGGGTATATGCCGAGCTAGTGTTGTTCCCATACTGATAAACTTCCGGTGACCTGTTATTGTAAATTTCTTTCCATTTTATATGGTTCCGTTTACAGCATAGATGTTGTAATGTCATTAAAATGCATTCAGTTAAAGAAACTTTGGCATTCGCTTAGTTGTTCAAGCGCAAAACGAGACAAAAAGCTGTTTACTTGCACGCGCCCGTCAGAATCGGCAGGCTAGCGCAGAAGCTCCATTGAATATACTGGGGTAAAATAAAAGCTCATATTATAAAGACATGACGGGGGGAAATGTAATTGAATGCAGTGCTTCTTGTACAATCTGAGACCCACTTTATATCAGATATCACTCAGCCAGTGGAGGTCGCTGATTTTTAAAGAAAAGTGACCTTAAAGGGGTGGTCCACAATGTAATTTTAAGGCTTGGTTGTGTTTATAAGATGCAAAACAATGTGTGCCCATGTTTCACTTGAAGGGAATCGTATTATTTTTTCATACATCTCACTTTGATTGTACACAGATACTCAGCTAACATAAAAACGACTGACAGATTTCCTAGTTTCTCTGAAAGGCCCGCCCTTAAGTGACTGATTGGATGTGCAGCGATTGACGAATCGGCTCCACGTCACGCCCGTACAACACGTGCTTTTCAGCTGTTTAAACAATCAGTCAACCTCCTGCCTGCTCTCTAAAATAAAATCTGACAAGTGTCTGTAACGAGTGAAAATGGGGTGCGGCTCCTTTAAGAGCGTTTGCGTGTGCGTCTATGGGTGTGTGTGGTGTGAATGTTGTCTGCGTCTATGTGTGCGTGAATGTGTGAACTTTCTGTAACAAGCGCATGTGCGCGTGACTTTCTTTTTCTCTGATGCTCGGATTAAGGTATTTTCTGTAATATATCGTGACAGAAGAATAAAGCACAAGATGTGGGATGCCACCTGTTTGAGCCTGTTTTTTTTTTTTTTTGCTGCTAGCACTGTATTTTTTTTTAACTCAACGCGTTACACAAAAAAACCATCTCTGAAATCTCAATCGGTAGTGAAAATGTCAGGTTTTCAGAAAATGTTAAATGTAATAGAGCCCTGTTACATTATTCCTTCATAAGCCCATTTGAGCCAGATAATTCCTGCTTCCAGATCCACTAAAATGGCAGGTGACAGTCAAATCAAGCGGATCTGTGCTGTCTGAGGAAAAGGTGGACACTCATCTTTCTGAAAATAAAAAAAATACTTAAAAATAGATTGAAACTGAGCTCCATATACAAACTAAATTGTTCTTTTCTTTTTATTTGTTTACCTACTACATAATTACATTTATTTTTTATAGGAAGCTTTATGGTTTTGAGTATAAAGGAGGATTTGTTTTATTTGCTGCTAAGCAGAAACTAGGCTTGCCACGATAGACGGTGTTGACGGTGATACCGGTTTTAAGATGCAACACCGGTGACATCACTTTTCCACCGTGACACCGTCCCCACATTTTTTTTTTTTTTTTTTTTAAGTATTCATTTTTTTAAAAATTATTATTAAATATTTATTTGAATTAAATGGGAAACATAATTCTAAATAATTTACTTAAAACGAGAGCATGCTCTAAAATTATCATCTGAACATAGCTACAATGTGTCATATTTCATTTATCACAACAAGAGAACGAGAGGAGTCGAATTTACAGAAAGAGAATGGCGGACGATTAAGGGTCACAACGCAATGCAAAAGCGCCTGTTTGGCAATATTTTGGGTTCAAACCAAATGCAAAAAGAGAACCTAAGGACGTTAATGAGGCAATCTACAAACGTTGCCTGACTAAGTTGGCAGCACCTAGAGGAAACACAACTAATTTATACTTGATGTTCAACTATGTGTGGGTCGCGGGTAGATAAGATCAATAACCATAAATACGCAACGCATACTCTCATTTTAAAAATCACGCAACCATCATCTCACAATGTTTAGTAATAAATTATCTTTTTTATTTTTTTTTTATTAAAACAAGAGTGATTTAGCTGATTTTTTCAGTTTCCAGCAAACGAATAAATGAACAATAATAACGAAGTGTGGTGAGTTATATCCAAATACACATGCAAATCTAAGCTTGTTTTTAATAAAACAAATATAAATATGGATATAATAAATAATACTGCTAATAATAAAAACATTATACAAAAGCAAATTAAATGAACTGAAGGCAGTGGTTTTTAAATTGATGTACTCTAGAAAATAATATGTTTTGTAATATTTTAATACTTTATATTTATATCCTATATATCCTTATTATATCCTATATATATCCTTAATATTTTAATTATTTTTCATATGTAAAGATATTTGGGTATTGCTCTAAATCTCGTGTGTATTAAGCAGTGTATAAGCGAGGCGCACGTTTGCGCCGTACTTTAGACCGAGTTTGTTCTGGTCTAAAGAACAGACTATTACAGTTTCTCAAAATAGCAACGCGCCAAAACACCCTTGCTTTTTTAGACTAGAACGCCTATGGGCGCACATATGAGTGCAAATGCATTTGCTATTTAAACAGCGTAGCGCAAAATGTCAAAACGACTCTTGCGCCAAGCTGAAACTAGCAAACAACAATTGCGTCACGCCTTGCACCACATTGCGCTGGGTGTATGATAGGGCTATTGCTGTTTCATGTGTCTAGTACAGGGGTCTCAAACTGCCGGCTTGCGGGCTATTTGCTCATATCGTCACCTTAGAATTATAAGGTTCTATCTGACATTTTAGTCAAAATTGAGTTAACATTCTTATTAAATAACATCTTATTAACATTACGGGATGTTTTTTGATAAGTTGTTTAAATTTTTTATTTAAAAACAAATGTTACACACATGCTGTCTGCTATGGAATCCAAAAACTTTGAAGCTCTGTATCTCAAACTCATCCAGAACGCTGAAAGAACCTTATAATTCTAAGATGACGATATGTCAGGAGCTTGACTGCATAAACTCTGGAAAAGAATGTCTGAGTGCATCAGTGACATCAGGTTTTACACTTATTTTTTTTTGCTGTGCTTGAATGTTAAAGCGGCTCTATGAATTGTCAGTCACTGATGTGGCCCCGCCAATTTGAGTATGAGACCCCTGGTCTAGTATGTATCTTGATTTTTTTTTTTTTTTTTTGGTTTGAAAACCAAAAAATTTGGTTTGAAAACAGGCTAAAACTACTAAGTTAGTTATTATTATGATTTTAATAGCCCAAGGATGTTCAAGAACAACATGTTTGTGCACTTTTTAAAGATTTTAGTTCTGTTTTTGAATAAAGGGTTGGAAATTAATAATTTTCTTAAAAAAAAAATCTGTTTCATCAAATAATCCAAAAAAATAAATAAATAATCGACAGATCAGTCGATTATTAAAATAATCGTTAGTTGCAGCCCTAAAAATTACATTTAAGTGTGCAACAGAAGAGTACGCAAACTTTGGCACATACTCCTTCCTCATTAACTGAACACTATGTTGTTCCCCTTTCAATCATCTCCACACATCATCCACATTTCTTTCATATTTAATTCCCTACATTACTGGAGATTCAGCTGTGTGTTAATCTGCTATTCTCAAGTCTTTCATGCAGAGAATCTCCTCAGGTCTTCTGATAATAATCATTCGTGTAGCGGTAGTAATAGAGCAAATGAATGCTGGAAAATAGTAAAATACTAAAAGAAAAGGAGAAAACAAACAGTCCAGCTTACAGAACTAAAATGCCCATCAGTGCTTCACACCCCAGTCCAGCAGGTGACAGTAGAGCACCTTTAATGCTGATCCACCACAAAACATCTACAGAAGAAGAGTCCAGTGGAGGAGCTCCAGACTTCTGTTCTGTGTTTACTTTATTATTAAAGTTCTTGCTTCTAAATGGGCGAGTTTGAACTACGAGTACAGAAATAAAGACAAAGAATAAATCTTTAGTAACTTAATATAGCTTAGCTTCATTTTTTACTTGCTTATAAAGGACTCAGTGTTATAATTCAGTCAGTAGAGCGTGAAATTTGCATCTTAATCCCTTTATATTGCTTTTGTGCGATACCCTCTAAAAATATGAACTGTTAAAGAAGAAAAGTAACATAATTAAGGACAGAATCATAAATAAGGAGAGAATCATACCTGTTTGTGTATGAAATATCAGCTGAAATAAAGTGCAGCGTTCCTGATCGCTTCTGTAGAGGAATTTACAGTTGAGCCCCAATATATACTGAATAAAGGCAAGCAGCTGAAGTGTCCGTCAGATAAACAGTCTGGCAGCAGAAGGTTCAATATAAAAGCTGGAGTGTGTTGTCGTGATTTCTTCAGCACTGAACCTCCACACCAAGTGTGCCGCAAGCCTACGTTTGAGTGAAGGTCTCGGCCGTTAGATCGCCCCCTGGGGGCTGGCTGCAGTACAAGTCATAAAGCCCGCCTCCTCCGTGTTAATGAAGGAGACTTGAGCCCAAATAAAAAAATTAATTACACTTGCAATAAAATGTCCCGAAAGATGGTTCTGGTCGATTAAGGCACTGATTATTGTGCTGAAATAGGTGCAGATCCTCATTTTTGTAAACAGTTTGTTTTTAGCAGTAATTTAATGCTGGGCGTGTCATCGTGATGACAGCTGTGATTGACAGTTTCTCAAAGCGCGGCGTCTGAGCTTCGGCAGGAGACTGAAGTGTTATTATTCGATTTCTGTGTTATTTTACCATGACAAAATGAGTTCAGCAGTAAACTACAGTTTCTGACATACATGATCCTGGTGGAACACTGTTTATTCGCTAAGGTCAGAGCTTTTTTCGGGCTTTATTAGTTTGCTAATACAAGCCTAGCCACCCAGTTAGCAAAATACACTGGGGCCAGTTCTTGCCTGCCGGAGACTTACCCCTCAGACTGACTACCTCTGCTGGACCTACTCCGGATGCCTGGACTCACTGCCCGATTCCAGCCTGAGTCAATTGAGCCAGATGCGGCGGCCGAGCGAGCAGGCGCTGCTGCATGCATGCCGGAATCAGCCCGCGACGCCGCGACTAGGTTATGCGCTGATGCCCGGAGCTGGCGCGATTGAATCTTCATTATATAAAACCCTCACATTTGTTAACGTTATTACACCCATTTTTGTTGATATAACAACAAACGCATGCTACTATGTGAACGCAAAGTGTATCACTGAGTTTAACCTTTGAATAAAGATGCAAACAGCATAGCAATTATTTAAATAAAGGACAAAATAAATAACAATAAACCTGTATCGATTGCACAAGTATTAAATAATAATAATAATAAATACGAAAATGACAATAAAACTGCACAATAAAATAAACCCATTTAAGTACGGGGTATACAGGAGATCGTTAGCAGTAATTCTCTTTGTGTTTAAATAATAATCTCCACGTTGATCTCCTGTAAGGTTATTTGAACTTGCTTTATAGGACGTCTCTGCATTTTAAGTTTTGGCATGTTATTAAGTGATCTACTGAATTTGCTGTTATAAATCATTATAAGGTTCTTGAAATCGAATCTTATATAACCTAATAGAGCTGTAAATGTTAGATATTATTTATTTACATCATTTACTGTTGGCGTTTTATTTGAACACTCCAGCTAACATTAAAAAGAATGTAAATTCCTCGTTGCCAGATATAATGAAGGCATCGAATAAACCAAATGAAAACGGAGGCAAAAAAATTAAATAAATAAACAATTCAAGCGAAAATGAATAAACAATATACTAGTGATGTTACAGCAGATAGACGTTGTATTAATAGTGCAAAGTTTTTTTGCACAAATTGACAAATTGCAGGGTTGGGATGTGTAAATATCCTGTTGATATTTAGTAATCTTGCTGTATTTATCTTCTAAACGCACGATTGTTCCCGCATGGTAAATCGTTATGGTGTGTAGGCTATATTTTGGGTTCTGTTGATGGCTAATTAAAAATAAAAACCTTTCTAAAAATGAATGTGTTGTTTATATGTTATATTGTTCATATTTTACAAGTGTTATTTCTACCCCTATGAAGATAACAAATACCAACAACAAATATAACAATAAGAGAATATATTATTTGTGCTCATATTCAGGCTAGAGTGTATAAAAGATCGTTTATTTCTGCAGTCCACCATGTATTGCTTTTATTAAAGTTTAACAGCTTACATCACACCGTTTTTAAACCGTATATTATTGTGTTTTTTTAATGTTAGTGCTTCTATTTACATCAGTGAGCGTTTGTTATAGTGCAGACACCGGCAGTCGAGTGAGAAGTTCGGGGGGCGTGGTTGATTTTACATAAAGCGTTTGGTTGGAAGCTCGACTCCGCTCATTATCGCGGCTCCTCCTCTGGCTCCATCAGACAGTCCTTCTGCGCATGTCTGGCTCCAATTTCAGCAGTCTTTTGCGACAGTTTGTGCCCGTCAAGCAGGCGTTTTGCCCTCAAGGCGTTCAATGGGAAAAGGGGCTGTCGCGTCGTCCATATTTTTTACAGTCATTGCTCCACACGAGTTTTCCTTGCTCTGAGCTTTTACTCGGATAATGCCTTTGCTAACTGTGTGCTCAGCACTACTGCCATCTAGAGGACAATAACAGCAGCATCCACTAATCGCCACATCCCCTTTCATTAGAGAGAAATCATCATCTGCAGAGCACAAACAACCGATATACAACATAAAACTCTCTAATTGTGACTAAAAGACAAAGTCACCTTCACACATTTTAAATATAAGTGCCCACATAAAAAATTGTAATAAATACTATATAGTATTTTACTGTAGTAAAGTACATGAATGAATCTGTTACTGATAAAAGCAGCGCTTAATTTGAGCCGGATCCTGTGCCGCAATCTTTCCCAGCCGTGCTTGCTTTGTTTATGGGCGATTGTAAGTTCTCGCTGGTGACGCCATCATGTGGTTTGTATTTGAATGGCGGAAGGCGGGAACACGTGTTCGAAATAGAATCAGTGTTCCAAACCGCAGAATGTTGATAAGAGGATGTCAATGGTTCTGGTGAATTTCCGGCTATTTCCGCAAGATTTGTGAAGTACTTTAACCGTTGTAAATATTGGCCACAATACTATTATGTGTTGGAGGCGAATCGATCAGAACTACATAATCTGAAGTGTAAACAAACTACAAACATGGCGGACGAGCGGGCCCAACCGTCAAAAAGTAGAGGCTTCGGTAACATTGTGTGGATGACTATTAAATAACATCTAGCCGACTGGAAAATATTTAAATTGTGTTTTCCGCGTTATATTTCCTCTGCAACAATGTCAGCTAATATAAAGATTTGTTTGGACATTACCTTCTGAATGTTATCCTAACACCTGAAGAGATTTCTCAGCATGAAAGACTCGTGAATGGCAGATTAACCTGCTGCTGCTTCTCCAGTATGGTAGGCAACTAAATATGTAAGAAATGTGGATGATGTGTCGAGATGACAAGAATTTAGTATAAGAATAAGGACACAGTAAATGAGTTCAGTATGGAGAAGATTGGACTAATTTTAAATGTAAAAATTAAAAAAAATAAAAATAAAAAAAAGAGTAGACTGGCACTTTCATTTCTCTTCTTTCCCCCTGTATTTCTTTGATTTCTTCTCTTTACTGAGGTGTTCCTATCTTGTTTTGTAGATCTGTATCACAATGAGAGATTATCTTTGCTTAAACATCTTATGCGTAAACATCTTCAGGGTGGACATGCAACACAGAAAACACTTTAAACGTTAATATATTTACTGATATGATGTAATAAAGCAGCAGAAATCATTTAACATTATAAGAAAATTAGTTTTATAATAATATAAACTATGCAAATAGTTTTTACAATAAAGTTTTATTAATACAAGTCAACATAACTGCAATACATGAAACAATGACTATGAATTTTTTTCAGATAAAACCAAGCAATTATGGATGGAAAATCATCATTCAGATAGAAATCCACCATTCAGTGATCTCTTACACCCGTGTTGGTTTGTGTCGTTAAAATGTACACTGTATTTATTTTTATTGTTTAGATATTGCCTAATTAAAACACCTCAGGAGCCCCAACATCACTCTACACCCTATCATTTCCTCTAAATCGCACAAAACTTGTGTCATTCACACAAACCAGCACAGAAGAATGACACCAGTTTTGTGATTAAGAGAAAATGCAGTGGAGAGTGACATCATGACTCCCGAAATATTTTGCTTATATCTAAACAAAGTAAACGGATACAGTATTTGTTTTAACGGCTCAAACCCTCACAAATCGAGCACAAACGACCTGTACTGATTTGAAGTCATTTGAGCAACAGGGGGTGAAAAGTGACGTCACACGGTCAAAAAAAAGAGCTTCATATTAAACCAATACAAACGTTCGTTTTTGCGGCACAAATCAGCACAAATGAATGGCAGAGTTTTGGGATTATTTGTTTTTATGGGGAAAAACAATTTAACGAAGGTTCAGCACCTGGTTCTGGGACATGTAGTTTGGGCAAAATTAAAAGTCAGGCGAGGAGGACCTCTGCTGGTGAGGGGAGTCTTTGGGACCGAACCGGCCACAGGTTTACCCAGGAGGGTTCCTCTGGATTATAGCCCTCTCAGTCTATTATGGCCTGTTTCCACTGAGTGGTACAGTACGAGTCACCTTTGTCTTAAATCTTCTCCAGCACATGTAGCCTCTGTTAGAGAGTTTCAGAGTCAAAACACACACACACACACACACACACACACACACACACACACACACACACACACAAACACGGGAGAAAGTGATGGTGTTTACATGGATATCTGTAGTCTAATTATTTGCCAGATTATTAAATGGTGGACTTTAACTGCAGTTTGGCTCTTTCATTCAACGAGATATTTGATTGGAGGAGCTGCTCTAAGCGTGTATTTTTCATGCAATGTTTGATACCGCACGGCAAATGAGAGAAAAAAACCCTCCGCATTTCCCGGAAACTTAGATGCACTCGGCAGGTAGTGTCAGAAAGCCGCGTGTGTTATTCCGGTCACTAAATGCAGCGAAAATCCTACACAAGGTTAAAGTTTGGTTGTGGTGCTAACATGTTTACACTCGGTGCAATAGTTAACTTAGTTCGATACGAACAAACTGAATAAACAAAGAGCACTGGTCGCTCACTTACCAAATCTGTAGAGACAGGACAATCACCAGCAACTAGAGCCGCGTCTTTAAGAAGAGAATACTACAAGCGAATCCGGATCTCAGCGTTTGCAGATGAGAACAGCTCTCAGGTAAACAATAATCCTCCTTAGACACGTAAGTTATTGTTGTTGAGCGTCGCGTACACTGTTAATCCACACGTGACTCCAGCTGCGCTCTCACAGAGAGAAAATGAAAACAAAACGTAACTGCAGCAAACTATAAAAGCAACACTTCACGCTTGTTTTGCCAACACAACGTGGCGTCTCTGTCCTGAAAACACGGTGATAGTAATGAATATTAATGAAGTTGCACAATAGAGCGCGCTGATTGGTTTGAACCAAGCCTTACTCATGCATTAATGCATCTCACTGTAAGACGTAATAAGACACACTCTGGCACAGACGCCCAGTCTGCACGCTGGAATACACGCTATTATGTCATGACCGTGACGCAGCTTCAAAAATTTGTTTCAAACCGGAAGTACGAATTTGCTTGAAATAACGCAAAAACAACCAATTTACACTTTTTAGTAAAATATAGGTGTCCTAATAGTGTTTTTAGCAGTGTGGGACACATATACGACTGTCAACAGCTCAAAACATGTGTTTTGGTGTTTCATGACCCTTTAAGGTTACTCTCAGACTCTTGTGTGTTATTCAATGTTTCTGACTGACTGAATCTCACTTGTGTCTCTCCATTGTGAGTCCTCTCATGTCTTTTCTGGCTTTCCAACCGATTGAATCTTTTGTCGCAGTGTGAACACTTGTAAGGTTTCTCTCCCGTGTGAATCCTCTCATGTGATTTCAGATGTGGTAACTGATTGAATCTTTTGTCACAGTGTGAACACTTGTACGGTTTCTCTCCCGTGTGAATCCTCTCATGCAATTTAATTTGTGATGACTGACTAAATCTCTTGTCGCAGTGTGAACACTTGTATGGTTTCTCTCCAGTGTGATTGCTCTCATGTGTTTTCAGGCTTAATAAATGACTGAATCTTTTGTCACAGTGCGAACACTTGTACGGTTTCTCTCCAGTGTGAATCCTCTCGTGTGTTTTTAGGCTTCCTAAATTATTGAATCTTTTGTCACAGTGTGAACACTTGTAAGGTTTCTCTCCAGTGTGAATCATCTTGTGTATTTTCAGATATGGTAACTGACTGAATCTCTTGTCGCAATATGAACATATATAAGGTTTCTCACCAGTGTGAATCCTCTGGTGTTGTTGTAAGCTTGTAGATGTAAAAAAAGTCTTCCCACACTCAGAGCACACATACTCTCTCACACCGGTGTGGATCTTCTGATGTCTTCTTATAATTACTTCACTTGCAAAACTCTTTCCACACACAGAGCATGAAGGCTTCTCAGTTGCATGAACTATAAGGTGAGCATTCAGGCCTGAAGCCAACAGAAATGATTTTCCGCACTGACCACATGTGTGTGTTTTCTCTCCAGTGTGGATCAACATGTGTCTACTAAGGGCTGATGAGTCTCTGAAACTCTTCCCACACTGAGAACATGTGAATGGTCTCTCTCCAGTGTGGATCATCATGTGGGTCTTGAGATTTCTTTTGTTTGCCAGACTCGTTCCACACTGAGTGCAGGTGACACGTTTTCTGTCTTTTCTCTTCGGTGATTTTGTTTTTCCTCTCATTTTAACTTGGGGTGTCTCCTCCATCAGGCCTGAAATAAAAGTGAAAAGACATACAAGTGATGTAAAAAGAATTATAGATAACAACTATAAAATCACGATTAGTCACCTTCTTTATATAAATATTGAATATTTGCCCAAACTATTTCCTTCATTCATTCAATTTCAACAACTGCTGTAACACATTGAGCCACTAAACACTGTTCTTATGATGTTTTTCTACAGGAGGAAAATGTGAATTACTTCCAAACACTTCAACTATAGTCTGTGTTAGTAAATGCAAGACTATTGATGAAATCCAGGCAGAACACTGTAGGACAACATTTAACTGTTCTAGAGCCCACAGCTAATCAATCTGTCAGATTCTGGAGTGCATCACAGCTCTAAGAGGAAAGAGGAAACGGCAGAGAAATCTGTGTGACCCTAGTCATCCAAGATTAAGGATGCATTGATTATAGATTTTGGTTGTACGATTATAGTCTGAGAAATATTCACGGTTATCATGCATTTATTAATTTCAAAACACTACTAGTTTAGAAAATCAGATGAAAACTAATTGGGTACATGCCGAGCTAGTGTTGTTCCCATACTGATAAATCTCCGGTGACCTGTTATTGTAAATTTTTTTCCATTTTATATGGTTCCTTTTACAGCATCGATGTTGTAATGTCATTAAAATGCATTCAGTTAAAGAAACTTTGGCATTCGCTTAGTTGTTCAAGCGCAAAACGAGACAAAAGGCCGTTTACTCGCACGCGCCCGTCAGGATCGGCAAGCTAGCGCAGAAGCTCCATTGAATATACTGGGGTAAAATAAAAGCTCATATTATAAAGACATGACAGGGGAAATGTAATTGAATGCAGTGCTTCTTGTACAATCAGAGACCCACTTTATGTCAGATATCACTCAGCCAGTGGAGATCGCTGATTTTTAAAGAAAACTGATGTTAAATGCGCTGATTTTTGCATTGGCATACAGTTCACCGGAAGCGCTTAACCCAGGTTACTGGCAAATTAAAAGTCCTATTAACATGCTTTGGCATATACCCTATTGCTGCTCAGTAACCAATTAATAGAGCACAAAATAATATTAAAAAATAGGGGTGTAACGATTTATCGTTGTACGATTTATTGCGATGCAAAAATGTCACAATATGCATCGTGGCGTTATGACGATTTGATTACGATATGACGTCCGTTTTCTCTTATGAGCTGTTTGCACATGAGCTACGTTCCACCTGCTGTCGCACGTGAGTTCAGATTGCAGCAGCAGTAATGTTAGCAGACCAAGATGAGTGGAGCTGAAATAGAGGATGGCCCATCCTCTCAAAATCAGACGTCTGGCAACATTTTGGTTGTACAGTCATTGCTTTAGACTCGTCCGCTTTTTGACACGCATACTGGGTCAAACATCCAAAGTTTTAAAGTCTTCACAGTGATTTACATACTCTGCACAGCGACAGGGATACCTCCTAATGGTGTTGAAAGAGTCACATACTGTATTTATAAGGTACAATTCACCCTAAAATATCATTCTGTCTTCATATAATGATGTATTGGCGGACGCAAAATCACACATGACGTGAGCTGACCGTGAGCTGTTACTACAGAGGGCGGACTTTGATAGACGCGTGCGTATGGCAAGCCGTTTTAGCATTTAAACTCTTGTTCTGACTATCCATAAATATATTTAGAGATATCTCTAATTATATTTTGACTAGTCATAATTATAATTCGACTAGTCAGAATGACAATTAGAGATATCTGCAATTACAATTGTACTAGTACGAAATCAGATTGGAGATATCTGCAAATATATTATGACTAGTCATATTCCTCCATTGACTTCCATTGAAAAATATTTGCAGATATCTCTAAATGAGTTTTGACTAGTCACAATTGTAATTAGAGATATCTCTAAATGATTTTAATTAAATATGAATTAAATACCTGGAAATGTGGATTTTTTTTTGCACACACAAAAAACGCAAGTGACCAAGCAAAGCCTTAAACTCTTACTGTTAAATTGAATTGAATAGAAAGCCTATTTTTTTGCACCTTTACTTAAATTGTTTCTTAATTTTGTCTCTGTCATTTCAATAATATTTTAAAGAAGCTTTTTAATTGTTTTATTTTCCAGAGACAGGCCTGTTTAATTTATTTTCTTAAAGAAGGTTCAGTTTAACAAGTTGAAACAAAAGAAATACATAAAAAATAGTTTACTTGGTAAAATTTGCATTTCAGTTTAATTTTCAATTTTTATTTCAAATTTCGTGATACATATCGAATCGTGAACATTATACCGTGATACACATCGTATCGTGAGCTCAGTGTATCGTTACACCCCTATTAAAAAATATATATTAAAATCCATTTCTCTTTGGACTTAAAGAGCCATGAACCCTCTTGTTTCAGCAGGGTGTTTTTACACCTCTACTTTGGAAAAAGTCAGGAAAGTGGGCGTGTCCAGCTTTGTTTAGGAGGGAGTGTCAGAAGAGCAAAAGAGGGATGATATAGGAGTGTTAATTTGGGCACGCGCTGATTTTCAGAGTCAAAACACACACACACATAGGGGAGAAAGTGACTGTTTACTTGGACATCAGTAATCAAATTATTAAATGGTGGACTTTAACTGCAGTTTGGCTCTTTCATTCAGGATTTTTGTTCATGCCCCTCATGACAAACGAGATATTTGATTCGAGGAACTGCTCTAGGCATGTATTTTTTATGCAATGTTTGTTACCACACGGCGAATTAGAGAAAAAAAAAACTCAGCCTTTCCCGGTAACTTAGATGCACTTGGTAGGTCGCGTCAGAAAGCCATGTGTGTTATTCCTGTGACAAAATGTGGTGAAAATCCTACATGATGGTAATAGTTTGATGGTGGTGCTAACATGTTTAAACTCGGTGTAATAGTTAGTTCGATACAAACTAACTTTCCCATCTGAATAAACAAAGATCACTGGTCGCTCACTTACCAAATCTGTAGAGACAGGACAATCCACAAAAACTAGAGCCGCGTCTTTATTAAGAGGAGACGAGCAGCAAATCTGGATCTCACCATTTGCAGATGAGAAAAGCTCTCGAGTAAACAATGTTCCTTAGACACGCATTTCTGTCGCCGTCGCGTGCACTGTAATCCACACATGAACCTTCACTGCAGCAAATTTTAAAAGCAACACTGCACGCTTGTTTTAGAAACAAAACGTGTCGTCTCTCTGCCATCTGAAGACTGTAACATAAATGAATAATAATGAAGTTGCACAATAAAGCGCACTGATTGGTTTGAACCAAGCCTTTCTCATACATTAATGCAGCACACTCAGAGACGTAATACGGTACTTCCAGGTACAGTCGTCCAGTCTACATGCTGGAATACATGCTAAGATCTCATGACCGTGACGCAGCTTCAAAAATTTGTTTCAAACAGGAAGTACGAATTTGCTTGAAATAACGCAATCACAACCAATTTACACTTTTTAGTGAGATATAGGTGTCCTAATAGTGTTTTTAGCAGTGTGGGACACATATACGACTGTCAACAGCTCAAAACATGTGTTTTGGTGTTTCGCGACCCTTTAAAAATAAATAAAAAATGTTTTGAAACTTAAATACAAGTAATAATTTAAGGTTTAAAATAAATAAAAGAACCATGAAATAAAATAAATAAATAGTTTTTATTTATTTATTTATTTATATGACATGGACATCACAATTACACTGGACAACCAAATGCATTTGTTTAAGTGTTTTAGCAAACTTGCTAATTTTCAACACCTGTCCACAGTAGGCTTAAAATTGACAAAATGAAAATATAATAAAAACATACACAACATTACAATTCATTACAAAAAAATTCAGCAGGCAAAAGCAAAGGCGACATGGTCCAATTAACTAACAGTAGACTAATTGTGCAAACACTGCTGTTTTGTTTTTAACCACTTTTTCGGAGCACTACTAAAAATATTTATATTACTTTCTGATTTTAAGCTAACCGGTAAATCTGGTTTGTCTAATGTAAATGTAAGCATCATATTATTTCCCTTTTAAATAGAACAAATGTAGTCAAAGACTGCTGAACCTCTGTCTGAAATGCACTATTATGCGAGCAAACCACGTGCCTCCATTGGAAATAACAAACATGTGCGCGTAAAAGATGGGATATGTGAATGGCCCTTAGTTAAAATCCTTCTCAGCCATACTTAAATTTGTGTTTTAAGCTTGGAACGTTAAACTGGAGCACAGTTGAAATAACTTTTAATTGCTGCAGTTTCGTTCCATGCAGTAACGTGGTGTTGGGAAGCTTTTACGATGAATTAACCGTGACGAATTAAACCGCGGTTAATAGTGAAATCGGTTAATCGTTGCATCCCTACAAAGCAGTCATCAATAACTAAATAGAAACAAAAGACATAGAGAGAAGAAAAGATAAAGGATGAATTATTTTTTAAAGCCCTGTGCTTATTAAGATTGTTTTTCTTATCCCATTAGCAAATCATTTTGCTTGTTTTAAGCAATCACTTAATTTTGAGGTGTTTTTTCAGAAAACAAGACATAATTTCTTTTGCTGTTTCACGTGTCTAGTACAGAGGTCTCAAACTGCCGGCTTGCGGGGCATTTGCTCATATCAGAAACTTTGACTGCATAAACTCAGGGGAACAATGTCTGAGTGCATCAGTGACATCAGGTTTTACACTTATTTTTGCTGTGCGTGAATGTTAAAGCGGCCCTCATATAAATTGTCAGTCACTGATATGCCCCCGCCAATTTGAGTTTGAGAGCCCTGGTGTAGTATGTATCTTGATTTTAGATTTTTTTTTTTTTAGATATCTGTATTGAAAACAGGACAAAACTACTACGTTAGTTATTTTTATTATTATCATCATAAAAGCTCAGGGATGTTCAAGGACAACATGTTTGTGCACTTTCTAAAGATTTTAGATCTGTTTTTGAATAAAGGGTTGGAAATGAATGATTTTCTTAAAAAAATCATCTGTTTCATCAAATAATCAAAAAAGAAACCGACAGATTAATCAATTAATAAAATAATCATTATTTGCAGCCCTAAAAAGTACATTGGAGTGTGTAACAGAAGAGTACGCAGAAGAGTATGGCACATACTCCTTCCTCATTAACTGAACGTTGTTGTTTAGTCACGTCCCCTTTCAATCATCTCCACACATCATCCACATTTCTTCCATAGAAAGATCTGACCCTTCCTATCTGAAGATGCAGCTCAACTCCTTGTTCAAGCTCTTGTTCTCTCCAGACTCGACTATTGCAGCTCTCTGCTAACCGGGCTCCCAGCTAACTCTCAGTCCAGTCCAGCTTACAGAACTAAAATGCCCATCAGTGCTTCACACCCCAGTCCAGCAGGTGACAGTAGAGCACCTTTAATGCTGATTCACCACAAAACATCTACAGAAGAAGAGTCCAGTGGAGGAGCTCCAGACTTCTGTTCTGTGTTTACTTTATTATTAAAGTTTTCGTTTCTAAATGGGCGAGTTTGAACTACGAGTACAGTAATAAAGACAGAGAATAAATCTTTAGTAACTTAATATAGTTTAGCTTAATTTTTTACTTGCTTATAAAGGACTCAGTGTTATAATTCAGTCAGGAGAGCGTGAAATTTGCATCTTAATCCTTTTATCTTGCTTTTGTGCGATACCCTTTAAAAATATGAATTGTTAAATAAGAAAAGTAACATAATTAAGGAGAGAGTCATAAATAAGGACAGAATCATACCTGTTTGTGTATGAAATATCAGCTGAAATAACAAAGTCCAGCGTTCCTGATCGCTTCTGTAGAGGAATTTACAGTTGAGCCCCAATATATACTGAATAAAGGCAAGCAGCTGAAGTGTCCGTCAGATAAACAGTCTGGCAGCAGAAGGTTCAATATAAAAGCTGGAGTGTGTTGTCGTGATTTCTTCAGCACTGAACCTCCACACGAGTTTTCCTTGCTCTGAGCTTTTACTCGGATAATGCCTCTGCTAACTGTGTGCTCAGCACTACTGCCATCTACAATACAATAACAGGACAATAACAGCAGCATCCACTAATCGCCGCATCCCCTTTCATTAGAGAAATCATCATCTGCAGAGCAAACCCAAAATACACTGCAGCTTTGCTTTGTTTATGGGCGATTGTAAGTTTACGCTGGTGACGCCATTATGTTTGTATTTGAATGGCGGAAGGCGGGAACGCGTGTTCAAAATGGAATCAGTGTTCCAAACCGCAGAATGTTGATAAGAGAATGTCAAAGGTTCTGGTGTATTTTCGGCATTTCCCGTAAGAAATCTGAAGTACTTTAACCGCTTATTTTGCTCACAATATTATTATATGTTGGACGCGAATCGATCAGTGCGACATAATATGAAAAGTGTAAACAAACTACAAACATGGCGGACGTGCGGGGCCAACCATCAAAAAGTAGACGCTTCGGTAACATTGTTTGAATGACTATTAATTGACATCTAGCCGACTGGAAAATATTTAAATCACGTTTTCCGCGTTATATTTCATCTGCAACAACAATGTAAACTAATATAAAGACGTGTCTGGACATTTACCTTCTGAATTTATAGTTATCCAAATACCTGAAGAGATTTCTCAGCATGAAAGACTCGTGAATGGCAGATTAACCTGCTGCTGCTTCTCCAGTATGGTAGGCAACTAAATATGAAAAAAATGTGGATGATGTGTTGAGATGACAAGAACTTAGTATAAGAATAAGAACAGGGACACAGCAAATTGGTTTAGTACGGAGAAGTTTGGACTCATTTTAAATTTAATTTCAAAAAGAGTAGACTGGCACTTTCATTTCTCTTCTTTTTCCCCTGTATTTCTTTGATTTCTTCTCTTTACTGAGGTGTTCCTACCTTGTTTTGTGGATCTGTATCACAGCGAGCGATTATCTCTGCTTTTCTGCAGTAGACGTCATGTGTCATGAGTAAACATCTTAAATGTGGACATGCAACACAGAAAACACTTTAAATGTTAATATATTTTACTGATATGATGTAATAAAGCAACAGAAATCATTTAACATTATAAGAAAATTAGTTTTATAATAATATAAACTATGCAAATAGTTTTTTTACAATAAAGTTTTAATAATACCAGTCAACAGAACTGCAATACATGAAATAATGACTAAGAATATTTTTCTGATAAAAGATCAATTATGGATGGAAAATCATAATTCAGATAGAAATCCACCATTCAATGATCTCTTACACCCGTGTTGGTTTGTGTTGTTAAAATGTACACTGTATTTATTTTTATTGTTTAGATATTGCCTAATTAAAACACCTCAGGAGCCCCAACATCACTCTACACCCTATCATTTCCTCTAAATCGCACAAAACTTGTGTCATTCACACAAAGCAGCACAGAAGAATGACACCGGTTTTGTGCGATTTAGAGAAAATGGGGTGAAGAGTGACGACTCCCGAAATATTTTGCTCAAATCTAAACGAAGTAAACAGATACAGTGTTTGTTTTAACGGCTCAAACCAGCACAAATTGAGCTCAAACAACCTGTACTGATTTGAAGTCATTTGAGCAACATGGGGTGAGAAGTGACGTCACACGTTCAAAAAAATAATGCTTAATATCTCAGACCCCAAAACCAACACAAACGTTAATTTTTGCGGCACAAATCAGCACAAATGTAGCACAAACAAATGGCAAAGTTTGAGGATTATTTGTTTTTATGGGGTGCCAACTTAACGGAGGTTCAGCACCTGGTTCTGGGACATCTAGTTAGGGCAAACTTAAAACTCAGGCAAGGAGTCTTTGGGACCGAACCGGTGACAGGTTTACCCAGGAGAGTTCCTCTGGATTATAGCCCTCCCAGTCTATTATGGCCCGTTTTCAGTGAGTGGTACAGTACGAATCACCTTTATCAGGCTTGCGTTTACCTATAGGCGTGGTGTATGAAAGAAAGGTTCAGTCGACGTCATTCTCACTCGATGAAATGTCAAAGTAAAGCTGTACTGGTTGATCACATATGAGAAGCACTTCTAACAAAACAGATGCTTCATACACTTAAATACTTGTGTATAAACGATCATTACTAACTTTTCTATGAACAGGATTTGATGATAACTGCTTATCAATGATCAACAAGAAATATAGCCCACAGTCAGTGCAACCCTCTCATCTGTGTCTTAAATCTTCTCCAGCACATGCAGCCACTTGTTAGAGAGTAAGTCATTCTGTGTTTTTAAATAGTCCAGAAGGTGATGATAATAGTTGAACAGGGCTGTTTGTTCATGTTTGGTTGCTGACAGAATCATTTCCTCCTTTGTTTTTCATGCTTCACTCTCGTGTTTATTTGTTTCTGAAAGGATCAGATGTCAGAAGCACTTCAATAGTCACGCACAGGATATTATCATCAGCTCAAGAAGTTTGTTATTTCAAATATAGACAAGCGACGAACGGCCATAAAAATGTACCAAAGCGCACCACTCAGTGTAACTAAAACTACAGTAAATCAATGGTAGATTTCTGCTGTGTTTTCAGCAGCATTTCATTTGGAAATTTCTTACATTTGCCACAAATGGTTCTGTGGACTGCCATTGTAGAATATTTTAATCGATCTATATTAATGAATTATCCTAAACTTAAAGAACAAAACATTCTCCAATATCTTTTAAATGTGTATTGACAGGGTTTAACACATTTGGGTGTTAAGAATACTGAGAGTTGAGCTCTTTCAGATGAAAATATTGATTTAACTATTGCCTACATTTGATTCTGCCATCAAGTTACATGTAAAGACAAACAACTCAAAAACTAGAGGACTTGAAAAGAGGAATAAATACTTTTTTCCGGCTCAAAGTGCATAGAGGATGGATCTACAGATATTTCATGTGAATAATGAACGACTCAAACCTGATAGAATATTAAATAATTGATCATTTCCTCTTTCTGCACATACAGTAATGAAACAATCACTCTGAAAGGACTCGTTATTGCAGAGTCACATTAAAGATTTGTTCCAGAACAACCCATCAATACTACAAGTTTGCATATCTGTACATTAAGGGCCTACTCATACTATGCCATCCGTACCGTGCCCAGGCCCATTTCCCGGATCGTTTGAGAAGTGTGAGTGCGCTTAATCGGGCTCAAGCACGGGTTACATGGCCGGCCCTGGCCCGGTTGGAAGAGGTGTGCCTAAGCGCAGTTTACTTGGGCTTTGGCGCGGTACCCTTGTGTGTGAGTGCAAAACACGCCAAAGCCTGAAACTGAAAGCGAGTAGTGACTTTTAAGGGACTGTTTCATATGGATTTATTAATCATTCTTACTGTTCAGTGAACGCAAACTGCTGTAGTTTATTAAATACGCAAACCCCTCACTGCACGACAGCTGCGCGCCTTCAGCAGACCTCCTCATTCCTGCAGCACGAGAGCTTTATGATTGTTTATGAGCGCCAAAAGTGGCGGATCTGTCCGGTGAAATATCTGACTGCGTGTCACCGCATCCCTAAGGACTGTTTGGCGAAATATTTGACTGCATGTCACTGCATAACAAACGACTGAAACGACATAACTAGAGAAATCTCCACTGTGCTGAGCGACAGCGCTCACTGAACAGCACAGCATCGATGACGTAAGCGTGCCGAGGCCCATTTGTGGTGTGAGTGCTGGCCGTCGGGGGAGACAGGAGGGGGGACAAGCGTGCTTTGGCCCGGTTCGAGGAAACTACCTAGTGTGAGTACGGCCTCAGACGTGACACTCTTGTGCGTTTTTCAATGTTTCTGACTGACTGAATCTCACTTGTTTCTCTCCAGTGTGAATCCTCTCATGTACTTTCAAATGTGATAACTGACTGAATCTCTTGCCGCAGTGTGAACACTTATTAGGTTTCTCTCCGGTGTGAGTCCTCTCATGTCTTTTCTGGCTTCCTAACCGATTGAATCTCTTGTCGCAGTGTGAACACTTGTAAGGTTTCTCTCCCGTGTGAATCCTCTCATGTGATTTCAGATGTGGTAACTGACTGAATCTTTTGTCACAGTGTGAACACATGTACGGTTTCTCTCCAGTGTGAATGCTCTCATGTGCTTTCAGGCTTAATAAATGACTGAATCTTTTACTGCAGTGTGAACACTTGTAAGGTTTCTCTCCAGTGTGAATCCTCTCATGTGTTTTCTGGGCTCCTAACTGATTAAATCTTTTGTCACAGTGTGAACACTTGTACGGTTTCACTCCAGTGTGAGTCCTCTCATGTGCTTTCAGATGTGAGGTCTGACTGAATCTCTTGTCGCAGTGTGAACACTTGTACGGTTTCTCTCCAGTGTGAATCATCTGGTGTTGTTGTAAGTTTGCAGCAGTAAAAAAAGTCTTCTCACACTCAGAGCACACATACTCTCTCACACCGGTGTGGATCTTCTGATGATTTCTTAAATTTACTTCATTTGCAAAACTCTTTCCACACAAAGAGCATGAAGGCTTCCCCTTTAGATGAACTCTAAAGTGTTTATTCAGGCTTGAAGCCAACAGAAATGATATTCCGCATTGACCACATGTGTGTGTTTTCTCTCCAGAGTGGATCAACATGTGTCTATTAAGGGATGATGGGTCCCTGAAACTCTTCCCACACTGAGAACATGTGAATGGTTTCTCTCCAGTGTGGATCATCATGTGGATCTTGAGATTCTTTTTGTTTGCCAGACTCTTCCCACACTGAGTGCAGGTGACCCATTTTTTGTCTTTTCTCTTCGGTGAGTGAGCTTTTCCTCTCATTTTAACATGGTGTGTCTCCTCCATCAGGCCTGAAATAAAAGTGAAAAGACAGCATTTTATTTAAGTGATACAAAAAAATTATAGACAACAACTATAAAATCATGATTATTTCAGTCTTCAGCGAGGTACACCGATCTTCCAGTCACCGTCTTTATATAAATATTTAATATTTGCCCAAACTATTTTCCTTCATTTAATTTCAACACTGCTGTAACACATTGAGCCACTAAACACTGTTCTTATGATGTTTTTCTACAGGAGGAAAATGTGAATTACTTCCAAACACTTCAACTATAGTCAGTGTTAGTAAATGCAAGACTATTGATGAAATCCAGGCAGAACACTGTAGGACAACATTTAACTGTTCTAGAGCCCACAGCTAATCAATCTGTCAGATTCTGGGGTGCATCACAGCTCTAAGAGGAAAACAGAAAAGGCAGAGAAATCTATGTGACCCTACTCATCCGAGATTAAGGATGCAACGATTATAGATTTTGGTTGTACGATTATAGTCTGGGAAATATTCACGTTATCACTATTATTATGCATTCATTAATTTCAAAACACTACTAGTTTAGAAAATCAGATGAAAACTCCTTATATTTTGCAGTGTTGTTTATTGCTGTTCAGTAACCACTTAATACAGCACATAATAACATTAAAAACAAACAAATGTCAATTTCTCTCAGTGCTTTAAAGTGAGTAATTAAAAAAAAATCAAACATAAGTGATAATTTTACACTGAAAATAAATGACAGATAAATAATTATAATAATTATGAAATTATGAAATCTAATAATTATGAAATATATTATTGATGATGATGATGATAATAGGGCTGTAACGATACACCAAACCCACGATTCGGTTCGTATCACGATTTTTGACCCACGATTCGGTTCGTATCACGATTTTTTTTTTCGTGGGGGGTGGGAAAAAAAAGATATTTAAAACTATTTTTTATTAAATAACATTTGAAAAATCTTTATAAACTAAACATCAAAGAACAATATTAACTATGCAAATTACTAACAATATAAATAGCCATATATAAAATAAATAAATAGCCAAAGCTATATCACTTCTGTTTTCTTTGTAACAAAATACCGTTGAAAAACCAAACAGAACTAAACTCTATTGTGTAGATGGTTCAAGCATGTTGAAAATTATTTTTCAATCAAGTTCTCTTACATAGAAAAAGTAAATTAAATAGCTACTAGGGATGCTCATTTCGTTAATTTATCTAACCGACAACCGCCGCTCATTAATCGGTTATTACCGGTAAACTGGTCAGATTACTTTTAATTTTAAATTAAACAAATTGACGTGTCTATTTTGTGTTTGACACATTAAATATTGCATTTTAAAATACTGATTTATTTTTAAATGCTAGCATATTAATAATAGAACATAACAACAGAGCATCTTCACGCACCTGCAGTGTTTAGCACAGAAGAGCAGAATAATCTAAATAAAATGAATGAAATAAATAGGACTGCCCTAAATTATTTTTACTTAAATAATTAATTTATATAACAAAACGAAAATACTGACTGATTCTTTTTAATAAGCGGCATAGGCTTTTTTTTCCAATCATATGTTTTTTTCTTCCGTCAAATAAAAATAGCTGACTTCCTTAAATTGCCCGCTCCACGGAAAATATGCATTTATTTAATGCCCCGCTGTTATTATTATAATCACAAAACCTTTTACATTTTAATAGAAATCATTATTTTAAAGATTATGTCCTGATATATAGCCTATGGTTTCCTCTCTCTCCCTCGCGGTTCAAGTGCGCGCTGCATGATGAAAAGACAACAACGCGCTCATGTTGACTTTTTGTAAACAGTTTTGTTGTTTAAATATGATATTTCATTAATCTGCGTACATGCTTTAAGCTGTAAAATAAAAAGTAAAGCCTATTTGTTGCGTTTATTACGCAGATCCAGGTCAACATCAGCGCTGGTTTAGCATCAACAGGTCTGTATCAAACAGCAATATTCTTCTTCCATTTTGCTTCTTTGGCAAATGTGTCAGTAGGCACGGGTTATACGTTATCATCCCGCAAATTAAGTATGCCTTGCAGTTAAACAAGGGGCGAAAACGAGGCGCACCTCACTGCCTTTATGTTGACATGGAAAAAAGAAGAGGCGCGGTCCTCTTATGAAACGACTGAATCAGCTGGGTATTGTGATATTCAAGATTTGTATATTCATACAGCTCTGGATAACTTAAAACAGCGATTAGACCTTCAGAGCGGCATTAATGCGTCCTGAAGTAAAGCGAAACGGCTATAAACTCCAGCAAGATAGAGTGATTATATGCAGAGCCATATACCTTTATCTCTAAATAAAGTATAAATATAGAAACTGTGTTCATCTTAACTTAAAGCTTCGTCGTGTTTTCTGACCTCGCGCACCTGTCAGTCAGCGCTCTCAAAGGTTCAAACAGAAAGCGTACAGCACGGTTACAGAAAAGTTTGCGCTGTTACCTGACATCTGGTGAACGCCCATCCCTCTCTGCGCAGCCACATTAACAGTGTGAGCAAATCATCGTATATGCGCTGAAAATCCAGCCGCTTTGACAGCATTGACAATGTTTCTGGCGTTGTTGGTTGTCAAGCGGGGTTAAGTTGGTTTTGTTTTTGATATTCTTGACATATTCAGACGGTCCCTTACTAAGAGCTCCGTGCGAGCTCTCCCGGCTAAATATTACGAGGGTTTAAATGGAGCAGTGCTCGTAATGTCGAACAAAAAAAAGTGTTAATTAGCTCAACTTTTGCAGGCACGCTTGACGTTATTGGAAAGGTAGTCACTGGGTGTGTCGCGATTCTCCCTTATCACACCGCGACACAGGATCATAGATCTGAGTGTCGCGATTTCGATTTCATATCGTGTATCGTTACAGCCCTAGATGATAATAGTAACAATGAATTGCATTTCTCATGATGCTGCCTTGAATGCGTTATCTGCTATCAAAAGTACTGTTACATTATGACAAATAAATCTGCGGTTTGCATCAAACTAAAATGAAGCCTTGCAGTAAGAAATATAGATTTAGCACTATTGTTTTTATATGCATGTCAATTTAATAAATAATATTTCTGCTACAAAACAGGGTTCAACGCTAAGTATGTTTTGTACTGGTCTGATCGGGCCAGTGGTTCAGATTTTTACCTGCCCTGCCAAAATTTCCAATGGCCCCACCAAAAAAAAGGAACTTAATAGCTATATTTTAGCCGCGTATTTTAAATAATGTGTCAAAAATAAAGTTTGTGAATCTACAATTTTAATACTTAAAAAAAATTATTAAAGCGTTATGCAAACAAAAAGAGTAGTATGGAAAATGTGGAGGTGTTTTATTACAGTTCGAAATTATTTAACAAAAGGTGGGCTGACTTGTTAAACCGACGGCCAACTGTGCAAAACATCACTTCATTTTTTTGTCATGTTGTTCACATGTAAATGTCTGCTTCCAAAACATTAGAAACAGACATTTTCTTTGAGCCTTATATTTTGATATTGCCGCCATGTTGCTGTTTCTTCCCTGTTCTGGTTGTTACCAGGTTATGGAAAAAAATTGCATGCTCAAAACATCAAATCAGATAAGAGGAACCTTAAAGAAATATGGTGTTTACTACATCACAGACAAGGTATTGTTTAAAGACTTAAAAGCACAAACTTAAAATGCACGCAATTGACAAATAGTCGCAGACAAATTAAATGTTAGTGACAAGGCAGTACTGTCCCAATCGGGCCAGTAATGATCCTGTCTACTGTCCCAAGCGTCTCTTACACTGGCCCTGGGCCACCGGGCAGTCCTTATTGTTGAGCCCTGCAAAACCAACGTAAGATTATAATCATTTAATTCAATGCTGAAAGCTGCAAAGCAGGCATCAGTAACTAAATAGAAACATGAAAGAAAGAGCAGACAAAAGAAAGGAAGAAAAGTCTCACTTCTACTACTCTTTAAACATTTCGGTTGTGGAAAAAAGCAGGCGAGTCAGCCGACGCAAAATATGAGCGGGACCCATGCACCTGCACAACACCGTTCTTTGTCATGAGCCGCAGTTTCAGTTTAAACTTAGTAAAGGTAAACTTATTTAATGATGTGTACAGGGTTAAATTTTACATTTAGCGGCCATTTGCGCTGAACACGCAGTGAATGCAACGTATTGAGGCCCCGTCCAGACTAGCGTTTCACCCAGCGTTTCTGAACAACTCGCCGTCTACACCAAAAGACTGAAAACGCAAATCACGTGACCACACACACACACTCTCTGGTAGTGATGCTCCGATTAATCGGCCACCGATCACGATCGGCCGATATTGGCTAAAAATAGCTTGATCGGCAAACCCCAAAAGCGCCGATTAAAAAATGCCGATCACTTGACATGAATTACTCGCACGACTTTTTCACACGTGCATGCACAACGCACAGGTAAACATCAGCAGAGCAGAGCTTACCAGTGGCAACATGAGTTCCCCCGTCTATTTGAAAGTGTCAAATGAAGACGTAAAGTTAGACGTTTACAATGTTTGTCGTGATAAAGTCCCTTGAGGTGGAAGCAAGCAACGGCATTTTAACACCACTAACATGATATAGGCCAGTGGTTCTCAAACTGTGGTACGTGTACCACTAGTGGTACGCGGGCTTCCTTCTAGTGGTACACGGAGGAATGAAATATGTCATGTACATGCTACATATAATTCAAAATTTATTAAAAATGATGTATATAATGTGCCATATATTATATATAGGCTATATTTCTGAGGTAATCTGCCAGGTTTTTTAACTGTGCAGAGTTGTAGCTGCTTTACTGGGCCTACTACGCTACTGTATTTTAATACTGCTCATTTTGGTGGTACTTGGAGAGACAATTTTTTTCTAAGGAGGTACTTGATGAAAAAAAGTTTGAGAACCACTGATATAGGCATTAGAAGACGCCACACAACTGATTATGCGGAGTATGAGAAGCATGATTAAACGGCGTGAACCATGCAGCAGGGATAGTACGAGGTGGAAAGATATCGCGTTCAAAATCAGAATCATGGAATTATTTTGCCTCGACGAACAACCTGTGATATATGGAGTGCAGACGCCCGTTCAATGTCCCTGCTAAGCTAAGTTTTACATGTTGCTGCCAATTATAAAATGTAATCAGTGTATTAAGAGGCTACATGCAATTAAGCTGATCTGATGTGTGTTGGTCTGCCTGACCCCTCTTTGTTTGGAATAATTTTAAGTTATCGTCTTGGTTATTTGGGAAAGATGGCCTACAGTAGTCTTAAGTTCTCATTTTCTAAAATAAACACTTGGTGGACAAGATCTTGACTGTAGGCTTTCTACAGTTTTTTTTTTTAATATAGTTAATTTAGAGTTAGTTTCAATTGTACAAATGGTGCAAACTCTGCTAGATTATAGATAAAAGATTCCCATTGCCCTGCCATTATGTGATCGGCAGATCATGATTTTTGCGATCTGCCCCAAAAATGCTGATCGGAACATCTCTACTCTCTGTCATGCGCTGCAGATATCTACCCAGATGAGAGCTGTGCTAGTCTGAGTGTTCATCAAGCATCTCCCGCTGGATCTAATCTCACTATATTTGATAAACGTGATATTTAATTCATCTTGTTGTCTTCATCTAACAACATATAGACTTTGGTCTTTTGAATCTATTACTTGTACTCCGCTAACGTGTTTTGGCTGAGCGCAGAGATAAGTCAATGATCAATGTCACCACGAACACTCTTTATATTGACTGAGCGCTTGTCTTTATTTCCTATAATGTATAATCTTATTGTACGTTATACTTTTATAATGTCCATTATTGATTATTAACACTGATATTCAGCAAAAGAGAGGGCGTTTCGTATTTTCACTAAAATTGAAAGGAGGCAGTGATGTACGCTCTGTCTTGTTATAAATATGCATACAGTGAAGATGACGCTCATATATGCAGCACAACGCTTCAACATTTCTGCTGTCTGTAAGTTGTTAATAACAAAATGAAAATAGCAGTTCCTTATATCATGTTTTCATTTTATATATATATATATATATATATATATATATATATATATATATATATATTTATATATGAGCAATATCACACATGGAGTGTGCGATATGGCTGTATATCGGCACTGGTGGGTGCACGCCTCCCACCAGTGCCGATATACAGCCAGATCGCACTTCTACGAGTTTTTACAACAGTTTGACGACATAATTGTGTATATAAAAACAAAATCAAACATGGGGAGTTTCAAAAACCCTTTTGTTTGTGGAACTACTTTCTTCCGCGTTGGATTCAAATCATAAGCTGACAGTTAAACAGTTGAGCGTGCATCTTTTAAACTTTAGATCTGTAGTGTCTGCTTTTTGCTGGCTGTATGTGGGCGGAGTAATACACAAAGGGTAAAGAGGCTGTAGGAGTTCTGATATTGCAGAATATCACACGGCTATCAGCCAATCAGATTTGAGAACCAGACAGAACTGTTGTGTGTGTGTGTGTGTGTGTGTGTGTATATATATATATATATATATATATATATATATATATATATATATATATTTTTTTTTTTTTTTTTTTTTTTAAATCCCTGTGCTTATTAAGATTATTTTTCTTACCCCCTTGGCAAATTATTTTGTTTGTTTTAAGCAAACAATCACTTATTTTGAGGTGTTTTTTTTTTCAGAAAACATGACATAATTTCTTTTGCTGTTTCATGTGTCTAGTACAGGGGTCTCAAACTGCCGGCTTGCGGGCCATTTGCTCATATCGTCACATTAGATTTATAAGGTTCTTCTATCTGACATTCTTGTCAAAATTGAGTTAACATATTCTTATCAAATGACATCTTATTTACATTATGGGATGTTTTTTGATAAGTTGTTGACATTTTAAGACTTTTTTATTTAAAAACAAATGTTACACACATACTGTCTGCAAAAACTTTGAAGCTCAGTATCTTTAAGTCAGAACGCTGACAGAACCATAATTCTAAGGTGACGATATGTCAGGAGCTTGACAGAATAAACCCGAGGAAAGAATGTTTGAGTGCATCAGTGACATCAGGTTTTACACTTTTTTGTTGTGCTTGAATGTTAAAGCAGCCCTCATATAAATTGTCAGTCACTGATATGCCCCCGCCAATTTGAGTTTGAGAGCCCTGGTCTAGTATGTATCTTGATTTAAGATTTTCTTAGATATTTGGATTGAAAACAGGACAAAACTACTAAGTTAGTTATTATTATGATTATTATTTTACAGCTCAGGGATGTTCAAGGACAACATGTTTGTGCACTTTCTAAATATTTTAGTTCTGTTTTTGAATAAAGGGTTAGAAAATAATAATTTTCTTTAAAAAATAATCTGTTTTATCAAATAATCAAAAAAATATCCAACAGATTAGTCAATTATTAAAATAATCGTTAGTTGCAGCCATAAAAAGTACATTTGAGTGTGCAACAGAAGAGTACGCAAACTTTAGCATATACTCCTTCCTCATTAACTGAACGTTATGTTGTTTAGTCACGTCCCCTTTCAATCATCTCCACACATCATCCACATTTCTTCCATATTTAATCACCTACATTACTGGAGATTCAGCTGTGTGTTAATTTGCTATTAACAAGTCTTTCATGCAGAGAATCTCCTCAAGTCTTCTGATAATAATAATTCGTGTAGTGGCAGTAATGGAGCAAATGAATGCTGGAAAATAGAAAAATACTAAAAGAAAAGGAGAAAACTAACAGTCCAGCTTACAGAACTAAAATGCCCATCAGTGCTTCACACCCCAGTCCAGCAGGTGACAGTAGAGCACCTTTAATGCTGATTCACCACAAAACATCTACAGAAGAAGAGTCCAGTGGAGGAGCTCCAGACTTCTGTTCTGTGTTTACTTTATTATTAAAGTTTTTGCTTCTGAATGGGCGAGTTTGAGCTACGAGTACAGTAATAAAGACAAAGAATAAATCTTTAGTAACTTAATATAGTTTAGCTTAGTGGCACTTGGTTTCTTGTAACGAAGTCAGGGTTATAATTCAGTTAGGGTAGAGTGAAATTTACATCTTAATCTCTTTATCTTGCTTTTGTGCGATACCCTCTGAAAATATGAACTGATAAATAAAGAGAAAAACATAAATAAGGACAGAATCATACCTGTTTGTGTATGAAATATCAGCTGAAATAAAGTCCAGCGTTCCTGATCGCTTCTGTAGAGGAATGTACAGTTGAGCCCCAATATATACTGAATAAAGGCAAGCAGCTGAAGTGTCCGTCAGATAAACAGTCTGGCAGCAGAAGGTTCAATATAAAAGCTGGAGTGTGTTGTCGTGATTTCTTCAGCACTGAACCTCCACACGAGTTTTCCTTGCTCTGAGCTTTTACTCGGATAATGCCTCTGCTAACTGTGTGCTCAGCACTACTGCCATCTAGAGGACAATAACAGCAGCATCCACTAATCGCCGCATGCGGAGATCGGAGAGAGCAGAGGTTTATTTCCTCTTCTGTTACGGGTGTTGTTCGTCTGTTCAGAGTAAGTGTATGATATCTGACCATAGTAGCGTTCGCAGACTTGCGGGAATTATCTTGCGGTGTGAACCGCTTTAACATATGTGCTCAATGCTAATATACTCTCTTGTTTTTAGCTCGATGCTACGCTGTAAACACTCTTGTAATGTCTTACTCGCGGGTTATCTGGACACCTTTCATTTGTGTCTCCATCTAATTCATTCACTAAGAGGTAGTTTAATGCTGATTATATTGAATATTGACTGTTTAACTGAACATATGCTTGTGTAAACCCTTGAAGAGACGCAAACGCTTTATTTTGCAGTAAAACAGAATTTGGGATTAGTATAATAATATAAAACACTTAATTCATTAAAATATTGAGAGATAAATGTAAGCAATCAGAGACATGATCACGCTGCACACATGACATGTAGAATCGGCCACTCAAGACTTACACACACATTTATTGAACAGGGGAGAAACACCTATTTGTAGCTTGTGTGAGAATATTTTGATGATAAAACATATTTTAATAGGATGTATTTTTAAAATGATATTAGAGAGTGTTTTAATCCAGAAAATATTTTGGGGGAAATGTTTAAAAATGTGTTTTCTGGAGGAATTTGACAATATTTACCATTGATCAGACTGAAAGACTTTATAAGACTTTATCAGTGTTGTTGTTTGTATGTTTTAAATACAATTAATTAATGATGTTTAAGAAACAGTTATGATTATAAATTATATACTGAATATTTAATGCAAGTGTTTCCATTATAAACACTGGAATATTCCCATCAGGATCAAGTGAAGAGTTTACTGAAGGACAGCGAGAACATGAGTGATCCAGAACCCTGCAGAATTAAACCTGAAGATACTGAACAACAAATAGGTTGGTGTTTATTCCTGATTCTTCCTTAATAAGCCTGAAGAGCAATAATGATGAAAAGCTTTTTCTGAGTTATTGAACAAGCACAAAAAAACTAATGATTTTATTTAAAGACAGAAAAAAGTAAATGTAAAAAATAGGGACTGAAACTCAGTTGTCTTTTATTCCCATTTAATATCACAATAATCTTAAATACTACAATAACAACATCAACACTATAGAGCTCTGCACGGTCAAGCACCCCTGTACATTCAAGATCTTTGAAGCAGTCACTCCTGTAGCCGGTCTCTGAGGTCTTCTGGCACAGACCTTTAAAGGCTGATTTATACTTCTGCGTCAAACGCCGGCATATGCTACGGCGCTGACGCATAGCCCTTCGCCGTGGCCGTCGCTGACCTGCACCTCTCAAAAATTGTAACTACACATCGCAACGACGCGTAGCGCAAGCTATGTGATTGGTCGGCTTGGTAGCGCTGACGAGTCTGGGCGACCGAGAGCCGCGCGAATGCCGCGAGCTGGACGCGAGCCCAATGGAGCGATTGTTTACAAGTGTGGAGTCCCGTGAAGGAGCTCCGGATGGAAAGTTTTGTTTTGTGTTTACCTCATAGTTAAAGTTGTTGCACGTCCGCCGGTTCCTGCCTCAAAATGAGCGAATTTGAGCCACTTGTACATCCAGGAAATGTTCAGGAAAAGCAAAACAGCAGCGAAGAAACTCGACACAGAGGAACATTTACACCTCACTGCCAACTAGCGTTTCGGAAGTGTTAATTCAGACCAACAGAGACAGCGCGCAGAAGTATAAATGCACAGCTGCGCGCGTTGCATGCGCCGTGGGTTACGCCGGTCACTTGACGCAGAAGTATAAATCAGGCTTTAGCCAGAACTCGTCCTAAGACTTAAAGGGCCATGAAACCCCCTCGTTTCAGCAGGGTGTTTTCACACCTCTACTTTGGAAAAAGTTAGAAAAGTGGGCGTGTCCAGCTCTGTTTAGGGGGGAGTGTCGGAGGAAGAAAAGAGGCTTGGTGTGGGAGTGTCTATTTGGGCGCGCTGAATTTAAATTAATTAAATTAATCATGATAAAACAGGCGGCAGCTGTGCTCTGTCACCTTAATGATTTCGCTTTCACGTGTCTTTTGATCCTCAACTCGTTTGTTTATTACAAAATGAGGGTTAATATGAATAATCACTAAACACAGCGTTTTAACACCTATTTGAATATTAAAGCGCTCACGTTAATGACTTTATATGTGTGTGCGCTCTGCTCGTCACAATGTGCGAATGAGACCAAGTGCAGACAGCATGCTTCTGACTGTGTCTGCGCGCCGCACACACACGCACATAAGCATGCAGTCTTTCGCGCTTTTAATAGCAACAAGTGAGGACAACTGGACAGGGGGCGGTAAATAATAATATAATCGTTTATCTCGATTAATGGTTTTTCATAATCGTTAGAAGCCATAATCGAAATCAGATTTTTGATTAATTGCACAGCCCTAGTTTACGGTAAATATTTGGTTAACGAGCTGCAGTTGTTTGCTGGCAAATTTAACCGAATAGAGCATCCCTATTGTCTTTAGTTTATTTCTGCTTAATTGCCAAGATTCTGTAGACATGCAGTACGTGATGTGTACAGTGGAAGAGCCAGTTATGCAAAAATTGATATTTTAATATAATAAGAATTCATTGAGATTGAATGATCTAAAATGCACAATTGAATAATTTATACAATTTAAAAACATTTACTATTTTGGCTTCCGACAGCAATACGTCATGAGGTCATTAGTTCATACGTTTAAGTCAGATTGCAGTTATGGATGTTGGAAGCAACACAGTTTTTTGACCGAGCTGATCGAGTCTATTGTAACTTTTTCTATTGTAACTTTTTGTAACGATTTTTTTTGGTTTTCAAAAAGGCTCAATTAATCCTTGTGTAAATTGACTACCCTTTCAATAGGTTTGTGGCTGTTTCTGCCCCATTGACTTCCATTATAATCACTTTTTTTATTGCAAAGCCATGACACCAAATAATCATGCATTTTTGGTTGTTGGTGGTTTACCTAGTTGTGAAGTGGTACAATTTGTCAATTTTACTGTTGATCATCAGTTCGCACAATTAACCCTTTAGATAGGCCTGTGCAAAAACTATATTGTAACACCTCAAATTATATTGTGCGTGCAGAAATACACTGAGAGCTGAGGTGATTCTTTTTTTCTCAGACATATCAAAGTAAGTGTGCATATGTCTGTCTTACACTCTCTCTCTCACACGCACACACACACACACACACACTATACTCCATATAAGGTAGAAACTAAGCTTTTTTTGCACTGTAACTGATGATCAACAGAATTAAAATTTAATTAATTAAAATTACAGCTTGTATAGCCAATGATTTTAGCAACTTTTGACTTAAAAAAAAACTGTTTTTTTTTTTTCATTTCAGACCTAATTGAAGAAAATGTGGCGAGTAAAGAGGAAGAACATCATGTCAAAGTTGAGGAAAAATATCTTAAGATTCACATGAGTATGATTCACACTGGAGAAAAATCATTGACATGTACTCAGTGTGGGAAGAGCTTCAGCCAATTATCAAACCTTAATAAACACATGAAGATCCACACTGGAGAGAAACCATTCACATGCACTCAGTGTGGGAAGAGTTTCAGCCAATCATCATCTCTCAATCTGCACATGATGATCCACACTGGAGAGAAACCATTCAGATGCACTCAGTGTGGCAAGAGCTTCATCCAATCATCGTCCCTTAATCTACATATGAGAATCCACACTGGAGAGAAACCATTTAGATGCACTCAGTGCGGGAAGAGTTTCAGCCAATCATCATCCCTTAATCTACACATGAGGATTCACACTGGAAAGAAACCATTCACATGTACTCAGTGTGGGAAGAGCTTCAACCAATCATCAAACCTTAATCAACACATGAAGATTCACACTGGAGAAAAACCATTCACGTGCATTCAGTGTGGAAAGAGTTTCAGCCAATCATCAAACCTTAATCACCACATGAGGATCCACACTGGAGAGAAACCATTCACATGTACTCGGTGTGGGAAGGGTTTCAGCCAGTCATCATCCCTTAATCTACACATGAGGATCCACACTGGAGAGAAACCATTCAGATGCACTCAGTGTGGGAAGAGTTTCGGTCGATCATCACAGCATGATATACACATGAAGAGCCACACTGGTGTGAGAGAGTATGTTTGCTTTGAGTGTGAGAAAACCTTTATTACATCTGGAGAGTTGAAACTGCACCAGAGGAATCACGCTGGGGAGAAACCGTACAAGTGTTCACACTGCGACAAGAGGTTTAATCAGTCAGAACATCTGAAAAGACATGAGAGGACTCACACTGGAGAGAAACCGTACATGTGTTCACACTGCAACAAGAGATTCAGTCAGTTACCGCATCTGAAAACACATGAGAGGATTCACACTGGAGAGAAACCGTACAGATGTGATCAGTGTCTACAGAGTTTCGCTCATTTGGTGCAGCTTAAGAAACACATGGACCAAAAGCTGCACACATGACATGAATACAGCATAACATTTTTTTTTATATGCAAAGGAGCTTTTGGTTTGGTGTGCACCCCCCTTTGAGTCCTTAAAATCTCTCTGCGAGTGATCCTACAGATGCGGATACATCTGTACAGCTCTGCTGCTTCACTGTCCAGTGTGTTCATGTGGCTAGTGTTGTTGTTTTGGATGATGTTCTCTGTCTGACCCACTCAATGAGAAACAACTGGAAGAGAGAGATCATCATCTACAGCTTAACCTCGCGAAAACGGAAATGCTTGAAGTTTCTGCCAACTCGACTCTACACCAAAACTTTTCAATCCAGATGGACGGGGCAACCATTACTGCATCTAAAATGGTAAAAAGCCTTGGAGTAACGATTGATGACCAACTAAACTTCTCTGACCACATTTCTAGAACTGCTCGATCTTGCAGATTCGCACTCTATAACATCAGAAAGGTCCGACCCGTCTTATCTGAACATGCAGCTCAACTCCTTGTTCAAGCTCTTGTTCTCTCCAGACTGGACCATTGCAACTCTCTACTAGCCGGGTTTCCAGCTAACTCTATCAAACCTCTTCAGCTGCTTCAGAACGCAGCAGCACGAGTGATCTTTAATGAACCTGAAAGAGCACATTTCACTCCACTGCTCATCCGTTTGCACTGGCTGCCAGTTGCTGCTTGCATGATGTTTGCTTACAAAGCGACTTCAGCCTTTGCTCCTTCTTATCTGCTCTCACTTCTGCAGATCTATGTGCCCTCCAGAAACTTGCGTTCTGTGAATGAACGTCGCCTCGTGGTTCCATCCCAAAGAGGGAAGAAATCACTTTCCCGAACTCTTGCGCTCAATCTGCCAGTTGGTGGAATGAACTCCCTAACTGCATCAGAACGGCAGAGTCACTCGCTATTTTCAAGAAATGACTAAAAACTCAACTATTTAGTCTCCACTTTACTTACTAATATGCAACTCCCTCTCTGGCTCCACTGCTAACTGTACTAAAAAAAAAATTACATTACCAATGCTTTGCTTTTTACATTTTACACACCTGAAACTTGCCTACAGCACTTATTCGTTGTTGCTCTTATAGTTGTGTAAATTGCTTCCTTGTCCTCATTTGTAAGTCGCTTTGGATAAAAGCGTCTGCTAAATGACTAAATGTAAATGTAATCACTATGGGTAGCTCAAAGGTGTTTAGGACACTAAATCAATTACCTGTAAAATTTTGGTGAGATTTTCCATCTGCTTGAATGAACTGAAAAAGTACATTATTTCTGCTCGAGATTGTACACAGTTACATCATTTCATGATCTTAATCTTCAATTTGGTTTGCAGTATTCATCGGGACCAAAAAGTCACTTTGTTACGCTCGCCGCCATATTTGTTTCCGATATGGTCACACTCACAACTGCAGCGCATTAAAATGAGATTAAATAAAGATATATTTTGATAAAAAATTAAACAACTACTGGTTCTGATGTTTTTAATTATACCTCGAACTGTGTTTTGTTCCTTCAACTTTTCTGTGTCTCCAACTTTCTTTTCGTGAAGTTTATTTATAAACTAATTTCGAGAGAATCACGTGCTTATGATTGCTTGTCAGTTCAGTTTTCAGTGTTTCAGTTCAGTTTAGCTCAGTTCAGTGTGGTTTAATTGTCACTGCTGAGAATTCAAGCACTGAAGAGCAAATCCATCGATGCGCAGCTCTACAGATCCTGAACCATGCAAGCCAGTGCCGACAGCGGAGAGGAAAGAACTTCACTAATTGACGAAAGTGAAGAATTTAAAAATCTCGAGAGCAACCAGGCTCAGTTGGCCACGACCATTTCTCCTATGGCCAAAGGTCTTGTGCAGAGCTACAGTCTAGACACTGGAGAGTGCTGGATGTCAGCAAAGACTCTACTGTGCCTGGAGCATCACAGGAATCAGTCTCATGCTCTCCACTTTTCCATGACCACCACAGCAGCTGCTCAGGATACGGCCTGGTCCGGGATTGCAGAAACCTTGGGATCATCTCATCACAGGTCTTGGATTGCATCAGTGGCACTGCATACTCTCTGGGGGCTTTGGGATGCCCAGGTGGAAATAGAGAATAAAGACCGGCCTTCCAGAACCGAGTTTGGACACCCCTGATCTATATAAGAGAGATATGTGGAGCACATTCATGCATCATACTGCTATGGGATGCATTAAGTGTATGCTTTACTAGAAAGATAGGTATTTAATCTAGTTTTGAATTGAGAGAGTGTGTCTGGACGTTATCAGGAAGGTTATTCCAGAGTTTAGGAGCCATAAATGAGAAGGCTCGACCTCCTTTACTCGACTTTGCTATTCTAGGTACCACCAGAAGTCCTGAGTTTTGAGGTCTTAAAGAGCGAGTTTGATTGTAGCGAGACAGAAGGTTGGTTTGATAAACAGGAGCTAGATTATTTAAAGCTTTATAAGTAAGAAGTAATATTTTAAAATCAATACAAAACTTAGCAGGCAGCCAGTGTTATGAGGATAAAATTGGAGAGGGGTCTGGATGCAGACCTGGTGCAGTGCAATCAGAGCTGTATCCATCGCTTGTTAATGCGCTCACCTAACCCCACCCGTCACAGTGATGTCACTCACTCCATTGATTGCATTGTGTCTGACATTGCATAGCTGAGTGATGCAATCTCAGCTTGCATCATAAAGGCCGCATCCAGATTGTTCAAAGGGCTTCTTTTACATTCTGCTGCTGACTAATAAGCATTTGCAGCGTCACTTTAATAGGCGGGACTTGGAAGAGGAAGAGAAGCAGGTGTGCCGAGCATTTCCCGAACTGAAATCGCTGCAAAGTGAAAGTTATCTGCTTACGTTTACATGCAGAATAACACCACTGCTGATGTATATAGTTGAAAGTTATCTGCTAATGTTTACATGCAATAACGCCTAATGTCTGATTTTGGAGTAGTAATTGATAACAGTTGACTAATAAGCTTGCTTCCATGTGCAGTATACTTAATGGAGGTAATGTAAACACTTTACATAGATAAACGTGATTGTTTCATCTAGTTATTTACCACTTACACTTGTTGATTCATTCTTTTATAGAAAATGTGCCTCAGTCACGTTTAGTGGACTACTGGCGCCCTCTTGTGGACAGTTAGGGAACAACTGCTCTGATTATTTGCATTTACATGTTGTGCAGTTACTGCAATTAGTATTACTATTTTATAATTATTAGTATTGTTATTTGCTGTTCTAATTGTTATTTATATAATTACTTATGTGAGATTTTTGTATTGTTTTAGAAAACCACAACTTATCTTCAGTAAATGTCCGAATGAGATCTGGAGTCTGAGTGAATTTCTTATAGATGACAGTAAACAGTTCTGTCTGCAGGGATTCAAACACACCCAATCATCTCAATATGAACAATTGAGATGATATTGTCATATTTTCTAGACGTGGTAAGAACTCTGGCAGCTGCACTTTGTACTAGCTGGAGTTTGTAAATAGAGGATGCTGGGCAGCCAGCAAAAAGAGCGTTACAGTAATCCAGCCTAGAAGTCATAAAAGCATGGACTAGCGTTTCAGCATCTAAGATGGATAGCATACTTTGTAATTTAGCGATATTTCTCAGATGAAAGAAGGCAGTTTTTGTGACATGGGATATATGATTTTCAAAAGTTAAGTTGCTGTCTAATATGACACCCAGATCTTTTATAGTAGAGCTAACGCTAACTTTGTATCCCTCTAATATCAGTGTACCTTGCATGATTTATAAATTGCATCAAGTTATCGCGTTTTCATAGTTGTCTATTACACTTTTTATAAATTTAATATGCATTATTTTTATTTCAGGCCTGATGGAGGAGACACACCATATAAAATTAAGAAGAAATTAAATACTTTTTGAAGACAAATTTTCTCTGATTTAGTAAGTCGTTTTAAATGAGCCTGATCTTCTCCATACTAAACTCATTTGCTTTGTCCCAATTCGCAGACATGTACGTTCTGAAATGTATGTACTTTTGTGAAGAAAAGGGAGTAGGGGCACTTGAGCGTTTAACAGAATAGCATGCAAACTTTGGGACATACTACTTTCTTATTAATAAACCGTTATGTTGCTTATTTACTCCCCCTGTCAATCATTTCGACACATTCCCATTTCTTTCATTTTTACTTACCTTCTATATTGTAGATTCAGCAGCAGGTTAATCTGCCATTCACGAGTCTTTCATGCTGAGAAATCTTTTCAGGTATTTGGATAATTATGCATTCAGAAGGTAATGTTTAAACACGTCTTTATATTAGTTCACATTGTTGTTGCAGATGAAATATAACACGGAAAACGTGATTTAAATATTTTCCAGTCAGCTAGATGTTAATTAATAGTCATTCAAACAATGCTACCTAAGCCTCTACTTTTTGACGGTTGCCCCCCGCGTCCGCCATGTTTGTAGTTTGTTTGCACTTTTACTCGAGAATGTACTTTTGATCGATTCGCGTCCGACATGTAATAATATTATGGCCAATATTAGCGGTTAAAGTACTTCAGATTTCTTACGGAAATACACCAGAACCTTCTAGAACTTCCTCTTCTCAACATTCTGCGGTTTGGAACACTGATTCTATTTTCGAACACGCGTTCCCTCCTTTCGCCAATCAAACACAAACCACATGATGGCGTCAACAGCGTGAACTTACAACCACCAAACAAAGCAAACCTTTGAAACTGTTGTCCATCTTCTTTGGTACTGTCCATTTACAAAAATATTTAGAAAAAATGTCTTGAATTTTATTCGATGTAAAAAGTGTAATGAATGTACTTTGTATTGGAAAGATGTAGTATTGGGCTTTACTGAGTATGAACAACCTAAAAGTAAACAGTTGTATGTGGCAAACTTAATTTTGCTGCATGCTAACTTTCACATTCATAAGTCAAAATTTTCTAACTCCAGACCTATGTTTGTGGGGGGTTTTAAACAAATTTAAACAATACCTTTCACTGATCCAATTGTCTCATAACAAAAAGGCTCCAAAAAGCTGTTTCTTTTTTTGTTTTTGCTTTTTGCATTTCTTTTTCTTCATTGTTAAATATGATTGTTCTGCCTATTTGTTGGTGTATGTATAAATTGTATACACTGTTTATGGGCTTAATAAAAATAAATAAATAAAACAGAGCAAAGCACGACTGGGAAAGATTGCGGAACAATCTTATCAGTAACAGATTCATTCATGTACTTTACTACAGTAAAACACTATATAGTATTTATTTCTATATTTTTTGTGGGTAATTATATTTAAATGTGTGAAGGTGACTTTGTCTTTTAGTCACAATTAGAGAGTTTTATCATGTCTATGTCTTGTGCTCTGCAGATGATGTTTTCTCTCTAATGAAAGGGGTAGCGGCGATTAGTGGATGCTGCTGTTATTGTCCTCTAGATGGCAGTAGTGCTGAGCACACAGTTAGCAGAGGCATTATCCGAGTAAAAGCTCAGAGCAAGGAAAACTCGTGTGGAGGTTCAGTGCTGAAGAAATCACGACAACACACTCCAGCTTTTATATTGAACCTTCTGCTGCCAGACTGTTTATCTGACGGACACTTCAGCTGCTTGCCTTTATTCAGTATATATTGGGGCTCAACTGTAAATTCCTCTACAGAAGCGATCAGGAACGCTGGACTTTGTTATTTCAGCTGATATTTCATACACAAACAGGTATGATTCTGTCCTTATTTATGTTTCTTTCCTTATTTATCAGTTCATATTTTCAGAGGGTATCGCACAAAAGCAAGATAAAAGGATTAAGATGCAAATTTCCATGTTACACATAAAAACCCTGACTTTGTTAAAAGAAAGCAAGTGAAAAATGAAGCTAAACTATATTAAATTTAATTTATTCTTTGTCTTTATTACTGTACTCGTAGTTCAAACTCGCCCATTTAGAAGCAAAAACTTTAATAATAAAGTAAACACAGAACAGAAGTCTGGAGCTCCTCCACTGGACTCTTCTTCTGTAGATGTTTTGTGGTGGATCAGCATTAAAGGTGCTCTACTGTCACCTGCTGGACTGGGGTGTGAAGCACTGATGGGCATTTTAGTTCTGTAAGCTTTTAAAGTGTAAAACCTGAAGTCATTGATGCACTCAGACATTCTTCCCCTGAGTTTATGCAGTCAAAGCTCTTTACATATTGAAGGGGGAGTTTAAATTGCTATAAAATACTACAGTTTAATAACAGGCATAATAATTTATTTTCTTTTCGGCTTAGTTCCTTTATTAATCAGGGGTCGCCACAGCAGAATGAACCGCCAACTTGTCCAGCATGTTTTACGCAGCAGATGCCCTTCCAGCAGCAATCCTTTACTGGGAAACACCCATACACTCTCATTCACACGCATACTCTACAGACAATTTTAGCTTACCCAATCAACCTGTACCGCATATATTTGTACTTGTGAGGGAAACCGGAGCATCTGGGGGAAATCCACGCCAACACAGAGAGAACTATCAATAATTATCTGTTTGTCAAAGCTCAAGCTATCATCTAGAATAACACCCAGAATTTTTACCCAGGGCTTCATAGAAAAACATAATTTATTAAGATTAACTATCGGTGCTCTGGAAGAGTTTGACAGGCTGAACAAAATCATTTCACTCGTAAGGCTGATTTATACTTCTGCGTCAAGCACTTGTGTATGCTACGGCGCAGCCTACGCGTTGACGCATAGCCCTACGCCGTGGCCGTCTGCAGCGCTGACGTGCACCTCTCAAAAAATGTAACTACACAACACAACGACGCGTATTACAAGCTCTGTGATTTGTCGGCTGAGAGCCGTGTGAGCCCGATGGAGCGATTGTTTACAAGTGTGGAGCCCCAGATGGAAAGTTTTGTTTTGTGCTTACCTCATAGTAAAAGTTGTTGCACGTCCGCTGGTTCCTGCCTTAAAATAAGTGAGTTTGAGGCACTTGTACATAAGGGTGTCACGATTCTCCAAATCCTTGATTCGATTACATTTTCGATTCTTAAGTCACTATTCAATTCGATTTTCGATTATGAATAATTAATTAATTAATAACTAATTATTTATTTGTAGCCTACCATTTAAACTACCTGACCTGCATGGTCTTTGTTTTACCCATAAACAAATCATACAGTAAATGAATAAAGGCAAGTTACACACATAATTTCCACCTGTCAATCACTTTTTTTTCTTGTGAATAGGCAGTGATCTGTGTCGTTATAATGGCGTCGGTAAAAATAGGTGCACAACCAACAGGAACCAGCCAACAGTATCTGAGGTGTTTGCTAAAATGACTGAGTACTAGTGTGAAATTAAAAGATTGAAGCAGTCTTAACTAGGTTAACCAGGCAGGCTAGGGTTATTAGGCAAGTAATTGTATAACGATGGTTTGCTCTGGAGACAGTCTGAAAAACAATTAGCTTAAGGGGTTAATAAATTTGACCTTAAATTGGTTCATAAAAAAAATTAAGAACTGCTTTTATTCTAGCCAAAATAAAACAAATAAGACATTATTCAGAGGAAAAAATATTATCAGACATACTATCAACATTTGCTTGTTCTGTTAAACATCATTCAGGAAATATTAAAAAAAAGAAAAAAAACAACAAAGGGGGCTAATAACTCTGACTTCAAATGTATATATATATTTACAATCATTTTTAAAATGTTTTTAAGAAAACATTCAGTTCATCAAGGCTACATTTATTAAATGTAAAAAATGTTAAATTGTTAAATATTTATCAAAATTTTAAATAACTGCTTTGTTATTGTATGTAGTTTCAAATAAAATTATTACTCCAGACATTATTGCTTTTGTTACTATTACCATTAATAAATATAATAATAATTAATATTAGTGATTTCTGAAGGATCATGTGACTGGAGTAATGAAGCTGAAATTTCATCTTTAAATCACTGGAATAAATGAATAAATTAAATGATAAACTACTTTTGAACAGTTATTTTATAGTGCAACATTTCACAATTTGTATTTATGATGAAATAATTGCAGCCTTGGTGAGCAGAAGCTTAGTTTAACATATTTAACAATCATACTGACCCCAAACTTTAGAGCACTTGTGTATAGAATATTTTATAAGTGAAAATGTGCACTTTAATTTTAACAACCCACAGACATATAAAGCAGAGGTCAGACTTTCTTATATATACAAAGTCTCATTTCAATTTTCAGGTTTTGTAAAAATCGATCTATTGAATTAATCAATCTATTAAAGAAACGTTGACTAGAATTCTGTATTATAGGCTTAAATTACAGAGAGAAATAGCAGATGAACCGAAACTTCATCAGATCAATGTAAATCTTTCTTTCGAGCTGTCAGTGCGGAAATAAACAAAACAACAGGCCTAATACAACATATTATACGATTAAAATATGGAAAAATTAACAGATAGTAATTTCGGTCAATTTTCCTGACAGATAAACTGAGATCAGGCTGGATAAACAGCTCTCGGTAATATTTCAGCATGCTTTCACTTTCGCATTTACCGGTAAGAATGACATCTGGCCCTGCTCATTATTCTCTCTACATATAGCCGTATATATGGCTATTACACGATCATAATACACTGTGATATAGCCTGGGTCGTTAGTTCATTGCATTGTTTTGTTTTCTCGCTACAATCAATCCGCTCAGTAGGGCAGAGACCATCTCATTAAGGCTGATTGATTTGGCGCGGATGCGAGCGCTGAGCGCAACTGCTGGATATATCCCAAACAAACTGCGCTAACGGGGGAAACGAGACAGATTCCGAAACAAACGTCTATGTGTGAAAGCACCGTAAGATTGTATTTGCACACAATTGACAGACAGTCGCAGCACGCAGCTCAGGCTCGATCTGTCAGCCAACAAGGCAGCACTGTACACTGGCCTGAGCGTCTCGCACGCTGGCCCCGGGCTATCGGGCAGTCCTTATTGTCGAGCCCTGAAGGTTTAAGCTCTGTCAATGGCTCTCCTGCGTCTGCACAGTTTAAAGGGCCATGAAACCCCCTCGTTTCAGCAGGGTGTTTTCACACCTCTACTTTGGAAAAAGTCAGAAAAGTGGGCGTGTCCAGCTCTGTTTAGGGAGGAGTGTCGGAGGAAGAAAAGCGGCTTGGTGTGGGAGTGTCTATCTGGGCGCGCTGAATTTCAGAGTCAAAACACACACCCACAGCGGACAATGTGACTGTGTTTACATGGACATCTGTAGTCGAATTATTTGCCAAATTATTAAATGGTGGACTTTAACTGCAGTTTGGCTCTTTCATTCAGGGAATTCATTCTTGCCCCTCACGACAAACGAGATATTTGATTCGAGGATCTGCTCTAAGCGTGTATTTTTCATGCAATGTTTGATACCGCACGGCGAATGAGAGAAAAAAAAAACCTCAGCATTTCCCGGAAACTTAGATGCACACAGCAGGTAGTGTCAGAAAGCCGCGTGTGTTATTCCGGTCACAAAATCCAACACGAGGTTATAGTTTGGTTGTAACTGTTAGTGCTAACTATTGTACTCGGTGCAATAGTTTGTTTGTACGAATAAAATACGAACTGAATAAACAAAGAGCACTGGTCGCTCACTTACCAAATCTGTAGAGACAGGACAATCACCAGCAACTAGAGCCGCATCTTTATTTAGAGGAGACTACAATCTGGATCTCAGCGTTTGCAGATGAGAACAGCTCTCAGGTAAACAATAATCCTCCTTAGACACATAAGTTGTTGTCGAGCGTCGCGTACACTGTTAATCCACGCGTGAGTCTGCGCTCTCACAGAGAGAAAATGAAAACGAAACTTAACTGCAGCAAACTATAAAAGCAACACTTCACGCTTGTTTTGCCAACACAACGTGGCGTCTTTGCTGTCTACACTGTGACTAATGAATATTAATGAAGTTGCACAATAGAGCGCGCTGATTGGTGTGAACCAAGCCTTACTCATGCATTAATGCAACACACTGTAAGACGTAATAAGACACACTCTGGTACAGACGTTCAGTCTGCACGCTGGAATACACGCTATTATGTCATGACCGTGACGCAGCTTCAAAAATTCGTTTCAAACCAGAAGTACGAATTTGCTTAAAATAACGCAAAAACAACCAATTTACACTTTTTAGTGAAATATAGGTGTCCTAATAGTGTTTTTAGCAGTGTGGGACACATATACGACTGTCAACAGCTCAAACACATGTGTTTTGGTGTTTCGTGACCCTTTAACAAGCACTTCAACAAGCGTGTTTTTTCCCGCTTGGCAAGTCAAGCTGACGTGACATGGGGGCGTGGCAGCATCGACGATTCTATTTTTTGATTCGATAATCGAAATTGAGCATAAATTTCGATCGATTTCGATTTAAAATCGAAATATAAAAGGTGCTGCTGTTTGGGGTCGAATGATATTTATGTCATCATTAACCTGCAGGCTGCATTTTGCTCATAGGGCTGCGAGAAAATAAAGAGAGCGGAGCTGCGGCAAAATAATGGATAAAAACAGTGAAGTTACGGTCAAATAAATAAATAAATGAAAAAAGTGTGCCTGCTGAGAGTGCAAGCAGCTAGGGACAGCGGCCCCTGCAGCCAAAATACGGAACGGCCCACCAGGAATTCTCCCGGTCCTCCCAATTAGCCAATCCGGCCCTGCTCTAAATGTCTTGTTTTACTAGTACAAGTGTGTATTTACATGTCTAAAACATAAAATAAGCATTGGGTGGTTAAAAACACTGCATAATTAATACTCAATGTGTTACAGCAGTTGTTGCAATTGAATGAATGAATGAAAATAGTTTGGGCAAGTTTTAAATATTTATATAAAGAAGGTGACTGGAAGATCTGTATTTTTTATATCACTTCTATAAAATGCTGTCTTTTCACTTTTATTTTAGGCCTGACTGGGGAGACATGCAAGTTAAAATGAGAGGAAAAACAAAATCACTGAAGAGAAAAGACAAAAAACGTGTCACCTGCACTCAGGGTGGAAAGAGTCTGGCAAACAAAGACAATCTCAAGATCCACATGAGGATTCACACCGGAGAGAGACCATTCACATGTTCTCAGTGTGGGAAGAGTTTCAGAGACTCATCAAACCTTAATAGACACATGTTGATCCACACTGGAGAGAAAACACACACATGTGATCAATGCGGAAAATCATTTCTGTTGGCTTCAAAGCTGAATGATCACCTTCATGCTCTGTGTGTGGAAAGAGTTTTGCACATGAAGTAAATTTAAGAAGACATCAGAAGATCCACACCGGTGTGAGAGAGTATGTGTGCTCTGAGTGTGGGAAGACTTTTTTTACATCTACAAGCTTACAACAACACCAGAGGATTCACACTGGTGAGAAACCGTACAAGTGTTCACACTGTGACAAGAGATTCAGTCAGTTAAGAAACCAGAAAATACATGAGATGATTCACACTGAAGAGAAACCGTACAAGTGTTCACACTGCGACAAAAGATTCAATTGGTTAGGAAACCAGAAAATACATGAGAGGATTCACACTGGAGAGAGACCGTACAAGTGTTCACACTGCGGCATGAGATTCGGTCAGTTATCAAATCTGAAATCACATGAGAGGATTCACACTGGAGAGAAACCGTACAGGTGTTCACACTGCGACAAGAGATTCAGACAGTATAGAAGCCTGAAAACACACGAGAGGATTCACACTGGAGAGAAACCGTACAAGTGTTCACACTGCAACAAGAGATTCAGTCAGTTTAGAAGCCTGAAATCACATGTGAGGATTCACACTGGAGATACAGATATGCAAACTTGCAGTATTAATGGGTCATTCTGGAACAAATCTTTAATGTGACTCTGCAATAACGAGTCCTTTCAGAGTGATTCTTTCATTGCTGTATGTGCAGATAGGGGAAATGATCAATTATTTTTTATTTTATCAGGTTTGAGTCGTTCATTAATCAGATGAAATATCTGTAGATCCATCCTCTATGCACTTTGAGCTGCAAAAAAAATGATTCATATTTTCAAGTCCTCTGGTTTTGGAGTTGTTTGTCTTTACATGTAACTTGACAGCAGAAAATCATTTGAATTCATACGAATTAGCCACTAAATCAAAAAGTTACGAATTGCCGTGAGATTGCGTTGGCGCCCTGAACTAGCGAATCAAGCTCTTTCTTGGTATACTAGACTTCCAGGCAGGTGTGCTGAAAAGACAGCAGAAATGTGCCACTGATTTACTCTAGTTGTAGTTGACAGTATCTGATGGCCCGTTTCCACTGAGTGGTTCGTTTCTGTATGCTTTTAAGCAGGGCTTTACATTAACACCCGCCAAATGCGGGTAGATTTCAGCTTTGGCGGGTTAGACAGTCACTCCCACTAGCCACTTTGGCTGGCTGAAAGTAATTTTTAAATCGTGGTTTTCTTAAAAGCAGGGTTCGACTATAAGAATGACCCAGTATGTGATCTTAGAATGGAGAAATAGCACGACTAACAAAAAAACAAAACAAAAAAAATTGCATTCGCGAAAGCAGATGAATACCAAATGAGAGGATAATCACTCGCGCTAACAGCTGATGTGATGCGCGCAACAGTTTAAAGCGTGCGCGCTCCTGTTTCCTTCCTTGAAGCACACGCGCTTGGAACGCAACTGTGATCGGATCTCTTTCAAATAGTCATCAAAAAAGATTATTAATTGGCCTTAACCATGTGATCATCCTTGCATTATTACACGGTATGTTTGTCACCTGCTTTCTTTTGCTTACGGTTATTTTTGCTTATATGGTTTAATTTAGGGCTGTGCAATTAATCCAAAATCCAATTTCGATTTCGGCTTCTAACGATTATGAAATACCATTAAACGAGATAAACGATTATTGCACCAAAAGCGCGAAAGACTGTGCAACACGCGCACACACATAAGCACACGTTCAGCATTCGGCCTCATTCGCACACTGAGACGAACAGAGAAGCGCAGTCATCTAAAGTCATCTTAACATGAGCGCTTAAATGGTCAAATAGGTGTCAAAACGCGGTGATTAGTGATTATTCATATTAAACCTCATTTGCATAATAAACAAACAAGTTGAGAATCAAAAGACGTGAAAGAGAAACCCTTAAAGTGACAGTCCGAAATGCTGCCGCCTGTTTTATCATTAATCAAACGACGAGAAAATTCCTCGCTGCTCTTGACTGAAAGACTTTTATAGCTAAAGTGTTCTTCTTAGGGTGAAGATGCTTAAAGCACAGTTTGTTTCATATTTTTATTCTATTGTATTTATTTCTCTTTCCTTTGCAGGGTGGAAAATAACTGTATATATACAGTTGTAGTCAGAATTATTAGCCCTCCAGAATATTACCAACCCTTTTCCTCTAATTTCTGTTTAATGGAAAGAAGTTTTTTTTTTTACGTATTTCTGAACATATTAGTTTTGATATATCATGTCTAATTACTGATTTGTTTTATCTTTGCTATGATGACAGTACATAACAGTTTACTAGATGTTTTTCAAAATACAAGCATTCAGATTAAAGTGCAATTCAAAGGCTTAATTAGAGTAATTAGGCAAGTCATTGTATAACAGTAGTTTCTTCTGCAGACAATCAAAAAATATATAGCTTAAGGGGGCTAATAATATTGACCTTAAAATGGGTTTCATTTAAACCTGCTTTTATTCTAGCTAAAATAAAACAAATAAGACTTTCTGTAGAAGAAAAAAATATTAGAGGAAATACTGTTAAAATTCCTTGCTATGTTTAACATAATTTGGGAAATAGTTGTTTAAAAAAACAAAATTCTCAGGCTAATAATTTTGACTTCAACTGATAATCGTTTTGAATAATCGTGATTACAATTATGACCAAAATAATCGCGATTATGATTTTTTCCAAAATCGAGCAGCCCTAGTTTAATTATCATTTTTTACAACATTTGCTTTAATATGAGATTAACTCCATTTATGTGTGGTTAACTGGTGAACTGAGAGACCTTTAGCGAGGACAGATTACTGTGCATATTTTTGATACATGACAATAATTATTTTTCAAAGTCAATTGTTTTTCTTTGTTTTTTTTTTAAATAAATGTTTTGTTAAATAACAAGTATAGTATACAGCTATATTTAGCTTGTTTGACACATTTAAAATTTGTGGCAAAGAAATAATTATTGTTTGGAGTGGTCAGAGATAAATTGGGTAAATCCCTAATTTTGAGTTCTGAAAAGTGATGTGAAATAAACACTAATTGCACACTGTGAAACCATGACCCATTTGCTCATACACGAAAATGTGAAATGAATGAGGAGGCATGTGGACATAACACAAAATCTAAATCAAGTCATTTTAGCATGTCTAAATCATATTTATGCATATAAAAATATACAACAAAATTGTGGCTAGTGAAAATGCAGCATGGCTGGTAACGTTGGAAAACTACTAGCCACTGTGGCTGGTGATCAAAAAAGCTAATGTAAAGCCCTGCTTTTAAGGCTGTTCCTACTGTCAAAGGGCACCAAAAACCGTACCACTTTTTGGGTACCTTTTTGAAAGGGTACTAAGCAAGACAAAAGGGTACCAAAAGGCAGAGCTAGACGCGCAGCTGAATGCTATTGGTTTACTGAGACACGTCACCAGCGCATACACAAGCAGAAGAATGAAAACAAAGAAACCGCAATTTTAAAAACACAGCCGAGACATTACACCATAATAATATATACATATAATAACAAGCCATGGTAGACACGAGCTCAAACAAACCTCATCATCGTATTGATGAACAGCCACAAAGCCAAGAAGACTAAGATCTGCCGTGTCCTGTTGTTGTTTTACAAGCCCGTCTAAAAGCGTGAGCGGTTTCACTTTCTTACTTGCACTCGCGTCTGCGTCTATATTTGAAATAAAGATCTTCTTGAGCTGATGATAATAACGTGCTCGTGATCATTGAAGTGCTTCTGAAATCCAATCCTTTCAGAAACGGACAAACGCGAGAGTGAAGTAAAAAAACAAAGGAGCAAATGATTCTTCCAGCAACCTAAAGCATGAACAAACAGCCCTGTTCAACTATTATCATCAACTTTTGAACTCTTATGAACTCGGACTGATGGAATTACTCTCTAATAAGAGGCCACATGTGCTGGAGAAGAATAAAGATAATTACAGATGAGAGGTTTGCACTGACTGGGCTATATTTCTAGTTGTTTTTGAACCCAAATAAGGACTAAACGTCTGCTGCGTGTAGTTTTTCTGTAATTAGTAACATATCGGGGACTGTAAAGGGCTGTATGTGTGCTGCATTTATTTATTTATTTTATATAATTGCAGATGTTACAGTAGGCTATTTCACACTGTCATTGATCTGCAGTTATAATCAAATCATGTTGATAGAAAGGTTAGTAATGATACTGACTCTTTCATAAATTATTTGCGGCAAAAATGCTGATTAAGGATGTAATTGTCCATGAATCTGCTGTATTAGGGATTAAAATTACTTATCTAGGTAACATTAGCTTGTTGCTAACGCTAAAGCCGTTTCCCATGCATTGTTTCATTTGTGACGACCTGGCATAATGTTAACTTAACATTAACGACCACAATTTGCATATTATTAGTTGTGTATTTGCTAAATGAGCACTGCTACACTGTGCACACTAACCCCACTGTATTTTTTTTGTTTAATCAGTTTCTATTCTGTTTTAAGTGACTCAATTAATTTGAAATTAAAATGTTGACCTTTTTTAATTCTTTGTTTTTGTTGTTGTGATTATTTTTATGATAGTTTTGCATTCTTTATGTTAAGCACTTTGAATTGACATTGTGTCTAAAATGTGCTACAGCATAAATAAACTTGCCTGGCAGTGTCATGTATTGGATTAAATGACAGAGAAAATGGACATAATTTTTCAGTGCAGCTAAACGCCAAGTACAAAAACTTCACATATTAAGCAATTTGGCTTTCAGAATGAGTGCTTATGAAAATACTAATGTCACATTATCAATCACAGGCAAAGGAGAAAGAAATGATTGAGGATCAGGCCAGAGCAGGGTCAGTCAGATGTACAGTGTCAGGTAAGGGTGTTGTGCTTTATTGAAGGGATGATGATAATTCTTTTGGGGGGTGAACAATTTTTTTTTAAATGTTTTCTGAGTTGTGGCTGTTTAGCAGATGAACTTCACAGGCTCACTGATTTACAATATGATTGGTCAATTTAACGTTTTAAAGTTAGTTATTATGAGTATGGAAAATGTCTTTTCCTGCATTTATTCTGCTTCAGGAGTCAGTCTACTGATTGTAAACAACACAACAAACAATGCAATAAATAGTTTTAAAGAGAATTTTGCTGTCATTGAACCTGAGAAAAAATTTGAGAACAATCATAATGATGAAGTCTCCATGCTATACTAATATTTATAATGAAACCGTTTTAACTGCGGGGACATGTCTTTATTAGTGAAATTCGGCTGTTTTATTTGTGTCCCCTTCAAAAAAATGCTGGAAAGAAGTTTTATATTTATTGTCCCTCCCCTACTGTTAAATCAGATTTACACCCATGGTTTTTGGTGATTAATTACCCAGGCCTTGTGTTACGTTAACTCTGTCTTCTTTCCTTGTCTTTGGCTAGGCAGAATCTCGGTTTTTAGCACTACACAGTGTTGAATCTGGTCATCTTGGAGCATTATTTCTTGCACATGACCACAAAGAACATTGTTGGCATCCAAAGACTTGTAGACCTTGTTGTAAACTTTTAAGAGCCCAAAAAACCAGGGAGAACCTTTCGGTTGTCTTCAAAGCAGAATCCTTTTTAATAAGAAGAACTCAGCATGGCTGTGGCGTCATCGAAAGCAAACTCTAAACTGCACAGCTAACACTATACATTTATACATTTCCAGCATGTAGGTTGGGTCAGATGCAAATGAAGTGTTGTGGTCAGCAGGGTAAACTGCTTTTTCAGGCCTGGTCTCATCATGTTATAGAGACAGAAACTGCCTAACTAGTTGACCGAATAGAGAAAACAAGTTACACAGCGTGCTGTGAAACTGACACTTTGCATTACTTTTGGAATATAAATTATATTACCACAACCTTTAACTTCTTTCTTGTAAAATCACTTGGAGCTTCATTGAGATTGTATATTTGCGAGATTGTCTGCGGCTCTTTCCCTGTGTTTGAGTAAATTTAGCTTTTTCAATATGTACTTTTTAATATACCCCTGTGTTTAGCCGTTTCTTTTTTTTTGTTTTTGCTTTTTGCATTTCTTTTTCTTCATTGTTAAATATGATTGTTCTGCCTATTTGTTGGTGCATGTATAAATTGTATACACTGTTTATGAGCTTAATAAACATAAATAAATAAATAAACAGAGCAAAGCACGACTGGGAAAGAACAGTCAGAACAGGATCCGGTTCAAATTAAGCGCTGCTTGTATCAGTAACAGATTCATTCATGTACTTTACTACAGTAAAACTCTATATAGAATTTATTTCTATTACTATGTGGGTAATTATGTGTGAAGGTGACTTTGTCTTTTCGTCACAATTAGAGAGTTTTATGTTGTATATCGGTTGTTGATGTTTTCTCTAATGAAAGGGGATGTGGCAATTAGTGGATGCTGCTGTTATTGTCCTCTAGATGGCAGTAGTGCTGAGCACACAGTTAGCAGAGGCATTATCCGAGTAAAAGCTCAGAGCAAGGAAAACTCGTGTGGAGGTTCAGTGCTGAAGAAATCACGACAACACACTCCAGCTTTTATATTGAACCTTCTGCTGCCAGACTGTTTATCTGACGGACACTTCAGCTGCTTGCCTTTATTCAGTATATATTGGGGCTCAACTGTACATTCCTCTACAGAAGCAATCAGGAACGCTGGACTTTGTTATTTCAGCTGATATTTCATACACAAACAGGTATGATTCTGTCCTTATTTACATTTCTCTCATTATTTATCAGTTCATATTTTCAGAGGGTATCGCAAAAAAAAGCAAGATAAAGCGATTAAGATGGACATTTCACGCTATCCTGACTGAATTATAATGTTAACTTTGACTTCGTTACAAGAAAGCAAGTGAAAAATGAAGCTAAACTATATTAAATTTAATTTATTCTTTGTCTTTATTACTGTACTCGTAGTTCAAACTCGCCCATTTAGAAGCAAAAACTTTAATAATAAAGTAAACACAGAACAGAAGTCTGGAGCTCCTCCACTGGACTCTTCTTCTGTAGATGTTTTGTGGTGAATCAGCATTAAAGGTGCTCTACTGTCACCTGCTGGACTGGGGTGTGAAGCACTGATGGGCATTTTAGTTCTGTAAGTTAGACTATTAGTTTTCTTCCTTTAGTGTAGTATTTTATTAATTTGCTTCATTACTGCCGCTACATGAATCATCATTAACTTCTGAATGTATTATTATTATCTAAAGACCTGAGGAGATTCTCTGCATGAAAGACTTGTGAATAGCAGATTAACACACAGCTGAATCTCCAGTAATGTAGGGAATTAAATATGGAAGAAATGTGGATGATGTGTGGAGATGATTGAAAGGAGACGTGACTAAACAACATAACGTTCAGTTAATGAGGAAGGAGTATGTGTCAAAGTTTGCGTACTCTTCTGTTACACACTCAAATGTACTTTTTAGGGCTGCAACTAACGATTATTTTAATAATTGACTAATCTGTCTGTTATTTTTTTCGATTAATTGATGAATTTGATTTAAAAACAGAAAATAATTCATTTACAACCCTTTATTCAAAAACAGAACTAAAATCTTTAGAAAGTGCACAAACATGCTGTCCTTGAACATTCCTAAGCTGTTAAAATCATAATAATTATTTATGTAGTAGTTTTGTCCTGTTTTCAATCCAGATATCAAAAAAAAAATCTTGACTCAATCATACAGGGGTCTCAAACTCAAATTGGCGGGGGCATATCAGTGACAGACAATTCATATGAGGGCTGCTTTAACATTCAAGCACAAGAAAAAGTGGACCCCTGATGTCATTGATGCACTCAGACATTCTTCCCCTGAGTTTATGCAGTCAAAGCTCTTTACATATTGAAGGGGGAGTTTAAATTGCTATAAATTACTACAGTTTAATAACAGGCATAATAATTTATTTTCTTTTCGGCTTAGTTCCTTTATTAATCAGGGGTCGCCACAGCGGAATGAACCGCCAACTCGTCCAGCATGTTTTACGCAGCAGATGCCCTTCCAGCAGCAATCCTTTACTGGGAAACACCCATACACTCTCATTCACACGCATACTCTACAGACAATTTAAGCTTACCTAATCAATAGGGCTGTGTATTGGCAAGGGCCTCATGATACGATACATATTGCGATACATGAGTCACGATACGATATATCGCGATACAATAAATATTGTGATATATTGCAATAGTTTGTATAATAGTTTGCAGCGTCATAATGCAACGTGCTGACCACTGGACCACAATTGCACTGTTATGCTGGTGCGTTTTAATAAATCTGCAAGACTCTGAACCACAGTATTACTTTCTATTGATTACTTAATCTTTTTCTCCCTTTTTAGATTTCTGATCAAGTCATGTCAGCTTTATTAATGAAGTGAATCATCTGATTTTCATTGAGCAGGTGTAACATTCATTAATATTAATTATTCAAATTCCTATATTCACTAATGCCTAGTTCACACTAGAGGATTTTAAGCCTGATTTGAGCCCGATTTGGAAGTTAACGAGCTCGCCGACAGATCGGGCTGTGATCGGGAAGAAATCTGCGGGTGCTCGGCGCTCGCCGCTCTTTATGTGTGAACTACTGAGCAACGCATCAACGAGGCTCGCTGACGCGTCGCCGACACCTCGCAGACGGAAATCCAACATTTAGCATGCTAAATATTCCAGAGCAGTCGGCCGACTCAACCCCACGTGTGGTCAGATGTAGTGACGAGCTGCAGCCAATGAGAGAGCAGATCAGCATGAGCTGAATGCCTGTGTGTTCAGGAGCTCAGCAGAAACATCTGTGATTGGTCAGAATGGGCATCAGTGCACTCGCTTCATTCTGCGTTAGCACAGACATGAGAGTAGGCTATATTAACAGTGGAACTAGAATTCTGTAACTATTAGAATTACCATACTGCTCATTCTGACTGTTCTCATATAAAACGCCATACTGTTACATCATATTTACATTCAAAGCTATTATTGAGATATTAAAATTAAGCTTTGAATGTCTGGCATCACATTTAATGACACCATTACCCTAAAAATAAAATCTTTTTTGGTAATACAGCCTATAAATATGTAGTTAAGATACTAAAACACTTAAAGGTCTTGGCTTTCATTTTCACTTTCAAACAGGAGCTATTTAACAGTACAGAATATGCTGTTTTGAAAGATATCTGAAGTAAACTGATGTTTTTGCCATCAGACAGTTTTGTTTATGTTAGCAGGAAGTTGCTAGGCAAGAAAATGCACACATATTTAAAGTCACAGTGAAAAGTATCAGACATGCGTGCAGTCATTTTAACCAATATGGTAATTTAAGGCAGAAATGCTCAGTTCTTTACTGTTTTGTAATAAAAAAAAAACAATGTCAGAAAGAAATACACTGATAGTTAGAAAAGGGCAGGGTGTTATAAATATGTTAGTTTTATTTCAAAGAGTTATAAAATTACAAAAATTAAAAACTCTCTGTGTATCTATCCACTCAAACCTTGCAGATGAGTGATTAATCCGCTCATAAATCAGCTGATGTGACGATGTTTTTAAATGCTTTCTCCAAAGCTTGAAACGCTGTCAGTGATGTCATCAGCACACAAGCAGCCAATAGTGTTCAGCTTTTTCAGACGACTCCTCCCTCAAAATTTAATTGGCTGTGGTTTGGTAGCTTGAATGAGCTGATGGGGAATGAGATGTTGTCAGATCATGTAGTGTGTGACCCCCCTCTTGTGGATCGTTCACGGAGTGTCGCGTAGTGTGAACACCACAGAGATTAAAAGACACAAAGTCAAGTCATGTAGTGTGAACGGCACAGCGATCTGCTGATGTTTAAAATCCTGTAGTGTGAACTAGGCTTAAGGTGCTGCTGTTTGGGGTCAAATGATATTTACGTCATCATTAACCTGCAGGCTGCATTTTGGACAGAGGGCTGCGAGAAAATAAATAAAAGGAGCGGAGCAGCGGCAAAATAATGAATAAAAACAGTGAAGTTATGGTCAAATAAGTAAATAAATGAAAAAAGTGTGCCTGCTGAGAGTGCTAGCAGCTAGGGACAGCGGCCCCTGCAGCCAAAATACGGAACGGCGGGAATTCTCCCGGTCCTCCCAATTAGCCAATCCGGCCCTGCTCTAAATGTCTTGTTTTACTAGTACAAGTGTGTATTTACTTGTCTAAAACATAAAATAAGCATTGGGTGGTTAAAAACAGCATAATTGTGATGATATGACACGTCTTTCTCTGCCTCAGTGCCCGCCAACATGCCAAAGCTCTGTTTGAATTTTTCACGTCATGCTTGTCGAGCTGGATAACAAGCAAACACCAGCACCAGGGACATTACGCTCCTCACTTCAAAACGGAACCAAAGTAGGATTCTGTAGCGGTTTACCTTGCGTTCGCTCCATTCCTCCTCTTTAAAGACTCCAACAAGTTTGGATGACTAGGGTTGCACAGATTTCTCTGCCTTCTCCGCTTTCCTCTTAGAGCTGTGATGCACTCCAGAATCTGACAGATTGATTAGCTGTAGACTCTAGAACAGTTAAATGTTGTCCTACAGTGTTCTGCCTGGATTTCATCAATAGTCTTGCATTTACTAACACAGACTATAGTTGAAGTGTTTGGAAGTAATTCACATTTTCCTCCTGTAGAAAAACATCATAAGAACAGTGTTTAGTGGCTCAATGTGTTACAGCAGCTGTTGAAATTAAATGAAGGAAAATAGTTTGGGCAAATATTAAATATTTATATAAAGACGGTGACTGGAAGATCGGTGTACCTCGCTGAAGACTGAAATAATCGTGATTTTATAGTTGTTGTCTGCTATCATTTGTTTATATCACTTCTATAAAATGCTGTCTTTTCATATTTATTTCAGGCCTGATGGAGGAGACACAGCATGTTAAAATGAGAGCAAAAACAAAATCACTGAAGAGAAAAAACAGAAAACGTGTCACCTGCACTCAGTGTGGGAAGAGTCTGGCAGACAAAGACAGTCTCAAGATCCACATGCGGATCCACACTGGAGAGAGACCATTCACATGTTCTCAGTGTGGGAAGAGTTTCAAAGACTCATCAGCCCTTAGAAGACACATGTTGATCCACACTGGAAAGAAAGCACACACATGTGATCAGTGCGGAAAATCATTTAGGTTGTCTTCAGGCCTGAATGATCACCTTAGAGTTCATGCAACTGAGAAGCCATATTCATGCACTGTGTGTGGAAAGAGTTTTGCACATCAAGTAAATTTAAGAAGACATCAGAAGATCCACAACAGTGTGAGAGAGTATGTGTGCTCTGAGTGTGAGAAGACCTTTGTTACAGCTGCAAACTTACAACAACACCAGATGATTCACAGTGGAGAAAAACGATACAAGTGTTCACACTGCGACATGAGATTCAGTTGGTTAGGATGCCAGAAAACACATGAGAGGACTCACACCGGAGAGAAACCATACAAGTGTTCACACTGCGAGAAAAGATTCGGTCGGTTATCAAATATGAAAATACATGAGAGGATTCACACTGGAGAGAAACCTTATACCTGTTCACACTGCGACAAGAGATTCAGACAGTTAAGAAACCTGATAACACATGAGAGGATTCACACTGGAGAAAAACCTTATCCGTGTTCACACTGCGACAAGAGATTCAGTCAGTTAGTAAGCCAGAAATCACATGAGAGGACTCACACTGGAGAGAAACCGTACAGCTGTTCACACTGCGACAAGAAATTCAGTAAGTTAAGAAGCCTGAAAACACATGAGAGGACTCACACTGGACAGAAACAAGTGAGATTCAGTCAGTCAGAAACATTGAAAAACACACAAGAGTGTCACGTCTGAGAGTAACATTAACATACAGATATGCACACTTGCAGTATTGATGGGTCGTTCTGGAACAAATCTTTAATGCGACTCTGCAATAACGAGTCCTTTCCGAGTGATTCTTTCATTGCTGTATGTGCAGATAGGGGAAATAATTGATTATTTTATATTCTATCAGGTTTGAGTCGTTCATTATTCACTTGAAATATCTGTCGATCTATCCTCTATGCAGTTTGAGCAAAAAATTTTTTAAGTCCTCTGGTTTTTGAGTACATGTAACTTGATATCAGGATTGTATGTAGGCAATAGTTCATTATTTATTATTTAAAATCATTATTTTCGTCTGAAAGAGCTTAACTCTTTCAGTATTCACGGCACCCAAATGTGTTAAACCCTGTCAATACACATTTAAAAGATATTAGAGAATGTTTTGTTCTTTAAGTTGAGGATAATTCATTAATATAGATCAGGGGTGTCCAAACTCGGTCCGGGAGGGTCGGTGTCCTCAGCCTGATCTCACGTGGAAACAAAAGTATTTTACGTTTTGTCAGTTTATCGGCTAATTCGGACAAAATTAAAGTTGACAAAATTTAGCCTACCCAATTCACCTGTACCGCATGTCTTTGGACTGTGGGGGAAACCGGAGCACCCGGAGGAAACCCACGCGAAGGCATGGAGAACATGCAAACTCCACACAGAAACGTCTTTAATTCAGCTACCATCAGACCTGTTCAGAAAGGTTCTTTTACATGTTTATAATGAAGGAGGCCTCATGGAATCCTCCATCTTGGTCAAATATATAGTGGAGTTCAAGCTCTCCAGATGTGAATCCTGTGGTTGGCTCTACAAAAACACTGGATACTGTGGCGATGGGAGGACAGGGATGTACAAAGCATTCTATTCAGACAAGAGTCTGACGACTTCTGCCCTATGCACTGCTACTAAACGATGAATGGATGGATTTGTACTTAATGGATGGATTTGTGGTGAACTGATGGATGTATGGATTTGTAGTCAGTGGATGGCATGTTTTTTTATTAAGAGATTGTTTTATTTGTTTTTTGATAATTAAACCGAAATGTTTATTGAACTTGTGTCTGTGTTCTAAATTGATTAATATCACTTAAAATTAGGTTACTAATGAGTTAACTTTATTATAAATCTGTGATATTTGAACAACATATATTTACCAGACAAAAAAAAAAGTCAAAATCTAAATTTAAATTATTTTAGGCAATAATTTTAGTGACACTGAGAAACAACTGTCACAGTTTAAAATAGTACTGAATACATCCCTTTACCAAGTAGTGCATTTATAAATAACCACTAAAAAGAACAAAAACAATTAATTTGTCCAATGATATTCAAGCATTTGTATCCATTCGAATGCTGATTTATCCATTATTTTAATGAAACTTGCGATTACGTTTAATTTAACGTTTAATTTTTTATTTTAAACACCAGTAGCATAAAGTAGAATGATCCACCCTTAAGCTAAACGAGCATCTTATATAATATGTTCATCTAATTGGTCAACGCATTTGACCAGAAATAAAACATTTGACCAATAAAAACCTTTTGCCACGCCCCTACCGGAAAAAAACTGACCAATGAAAAACCTTTTGCCACACCCATTTCTCCAGACTGCAGTTACCCATACTAGCCTCAGAATCAGCACCGTAGGCGGGATGTTTGCCTGAACGTCGATCAACAAAAGCTGATTGGCTGCATGTAGCTGACTCTGAGAAAGCTGATTGGCTGCCTGTAGATCCAGAATCATTGTGGGTATTCAGTCAGGAGAAATAGTAAGTCGTTTGTTTTGGTAGTGCACCTATTATGAAGTGTTTTGGGTTGACTTTATATTTTTTTTAAAAAAATGTTTTAGAATGTAGAAACTTAATTTAGCTTAACATAAGCTTAATTTTGAACTTGCCTTCATGTAACTGAGTCAGGGCTAACGTTATATTTCAGTCAGGATAGCGTGAAATGTGCATCTTAATATCTTTATCTTGGTTTTGTGTGGTACACAGAAAACATGAACTGATAAAGAAGGTAAGAAACATAAATAGGGGAAAAAAGAAACATGAGAAGTGTTTAGTTGACACGGTGGTAATGGGCTCCTTTGAGGTCTGCCTCACCTTAACTGCATCGTAGACGAGAGCAGGCGGCTGCAGTTACGGCCCGTTTCCACTGACTGGTACAGCTCAGTACGGTACGGCTCACCTTTATCAGGCTTGCATTTCCACTACCATCCGCTTGTTAAGTGGTGACGTGTTAGTGACGTATGTAATACTGTTTTTGGGTCCAAGCCGCCATTCATTTGAGTGGAAAAATCATTCGTTCATGATTTATTCCTATCACACATTAAAGTTTATTTAACATAAAGTCATAGTGTACACAACAATCTCTGGGCTTGCTGCATAACAAATACCAAAATTTAAACAATTAATAAAACAATGAATCACTTTCTGGGCATCAGATATTAGGCATGGACATATATATTGCGATCGTGACTTTCGAAAGTATTAAATCGCTTTGTAAACGTTTATTATTACCATTTCATAAATCTCGCCATTCAGTTGAATAGAGCGCTTGGACCCGAAAGCCGCTCCATGTGACGTCACACTTAACAAGCGGATAGGTACCCTTTTGGTGGGCGTGGTGTACAGAAAGTTTCAGTCAACGTCTTTCTCCCTCGAATAAATGTCTACAGTAAAGCTGTACGGGTTGTTTACATATATGAGAAGCACTTCTCACAAAACCGAGGCTTTACACACATAAATACTTGTGTATAAATGTTTATTACTAACTTTCCCATGAACATTTGATTATAACTGCAGATCAATGACGTGCGATCAGTGTGAAATAGCCTACTGTAACAACTGCAATTATATGAAAATAATTAAACATATATGAACACATACAGACCCTTACAGTTTCCGATGTTACCAATTACAGAAAAACTACACACAGCAGACATTTAGTGCTTATTCAGGTTCAAAACAACACAAAATATAGCCCACAGTCAGTGCAGACCTCTCGTCTGTGTCTGCAATCTTCAGCAGCACATGTAAGCTCTGTTAAAGAGTCATACTGTCATTCCCAGTTTACAGGGCTCAAAATTGCGACCATTTTGGTCGCATATGTGCCCGAAATTTTACCTATGCGACCTCAAAATATATTTGGGAGCATTTGTGAGTAAAATTGTTGTGTGCGACAGGTTTTTACTGCAAAATGTTCACCACATGATTCAGGAGACAATCACGCAGAATGCATCTCTGCACTTGAAACGCGAAACGCAGCGCTCAGGAATGGTTTAAAACAGTTGTCATGTCAACTTGCTGAAGTAAACAAAGCCAAGTCCGTAATGCTTGCCCCGCCTTTGCACTCTTCTTATTGGCCCACCACTGCTTTAGCACTGAAATATCAGCTGTCAATCACTCTGTCAATGCCTTCTGGCTCGGGATGACAGAGAGAGCTACTACCGCGAAAAACTGTAAAGTGCTGAAGATGAGAATGCAGCTAACACTGACAGATTTTGTTTTAGAAACCACCTAAAGTTACAAATAATGACACATCTTAGTAGTGACCATGTGGTGAATGTTACTCCACCATCTAAACACTAAAAACACTAAAACCTGAACCACACTGTTCCAGTTACTATGACCATTTATGTGAAGCTGCTTTGACACAATCTACATTGTAAAAGCGCTATACAAATAAAGCTGAATTTAATTGAATTGAACCATCTACACTTTTCCAAGAGTGGATGAAAGATCTCCATTGGCTTCAAGTCCGCTATGTAAAGTCTGTGGGATGGAGTTTTCAGGTAACTGTTTGCCACATCTAGCACGAGAGCTTCTGTTTAATCCTTCATATAATCGCCAGATGCTGTCCGCCCTGCAAGTGGCAGCTATATGTCAAATTGAACACCACGTACACCATCGCAAACGGGCTTACACCGAGTAAACTAATATCGCTACTCTTGAAATGTATTGCTGTTAACATGACGTATGCATAAAATAAGGCACATTATATGTCAAAAGCATCAGTGCAATATCAGACAGCACCCGTGAGAACAGCACAGTTATATCATTAACGGATTCATGTCAAGCAGTGTGTGCAGGGCCGGTGAGCGGTCCGTGTATCTTTTGGTCACTTAGTTATGTTACAAAAATCTATTTTCTATTGATAACGGGATTTCTTTGAGACATATTTTCCATGCATATATATATATATATATATATATATATATATATATATATATATATATATATATACATATATATACATATATATATATATATATTTTTTTTTTTTGCTTGTTAGTTTGACTAGTGTTGATTTCTAATGCAATAAATATGTTTGTATAAAACGTAGTAGTAACGGTGCTTATAAATGCGACTAAATTTTGGCTGATGCGCCTACATTTTTTAAGTTAGGAGCACCGGTGCTTCCAAGCAGAAAGCTTAATTTCGAGCCCTAGTTTATAATAGTCCAAAAGGCGAAGATAAACATGGCAGTTTGTTCGTGATTCAGGTTGCTGAAACGATGTGCTCCTGTGCGTTGTCGGGCTTCTCCTTTGTTCGCGCTTCACTCTCGCGTTTGTCCTTTTCTTTCTGAATGGATCAGATGATAGAGACACTTTAATAATCACGCACCCGTTATTTTCTTCAGCTCAAGTAGTTCGCACACTTTTAGACGGCCTCGTAAAAGAACAACAGGACATGGCAGATTTTGTTCTTCTTGGCTTTGTGTCTGTACATCAAGACTAAGACGAGGTTTGTTTGTCAGTTTTACAGTGTAATGTCTTGGGTGTGTATAACAACATGGCGGCTCCTTTGTTTTCATCTGGCTAGCTACAGACTACCTTGCGATGCATCTCTGTAACCAATCAGCGTTCAGCTGCGCATGTAGCTCCACCTTTTGGTATGCTTTCTCGTGTTTGGTACCCTTTCGAAAGGGTGCCGAAAAAGTGGTACGATATGGTTCGGTACGCCGTGATGTAAAAAATACATTAGAAGTCAGGCTCGGACACTTCCAGAATCTCGCTTATTGTGGGAGCGGATGCAATTGAAATATCACTATTTTTACAAAAAGAGGGTCACAATCACAGAAGATGACCAACTTATTACTTAAGAGGCTGTATTTAAAATATAAAAACTGTATATTCAACAGTGATAATCAATCAAAGAGAAATCTGCTCGTGAAATTAATTTGTTTTATTTTTTATGCCTTCTGAATTCAGTGACAGCAGTTTTGTTCATAAGAGTTTAATGGCTTTTATTTTGTAATCATGGATAAAGCGGTCTCGAATTTCTGGTTGTTTATTTGCATTCATTTGTTGTTTTTTCGTTATTAATATTTTTTCATCAGTGAGTGAGACGCTGATCTATTATGACAATATGCGTTAGCAGCGACAGTATTTGCGTTCAGTTCCATTTTTAGCGCTCACCTTTCACTACATCCTGATTCCCCAGCTCGCTCACTTTGTCCCAAGATATTCAGCCGGAAACGGCTAGCTGCTGGCCCCAAGAAAGCCTCTCTTTGGCTCGATCAGGCCCCGGAAATGACTATAGAAACACGACTGGCCCTAGCTTGACTTGGGTGCGACAGTGGAAACGCGGCTATAGTGTTTAGCAGTACCAAAGACTCTAGAATGAGTGCATCTGAATGGTTTCTCTTCAGCGTGAATCCTCATGTGTAGATTAAGGGATGATGACTGGCTGAAACTCTTCCCACACTGAGTGCAGGTGAATGGTGTCTCTCCAGTGTGGATCATCATGTGGTGATTAAGGTTTGTTGATTGGTTGAAACTCTTCCCACACTGAGAACATGTGAATGGTTTCTCTCCAGTGTGAATCATCATGTGTTTATTAAGGCTTGATGATTGGCTGAAGCTCTTCCCACACTGAGTGCACGTGAATGGTTTCTCTCCGGTGTGGATCGTCATGTGTTGATTAAGGTTTGATGATTGGCTGAAGCTCTTCCCACACTGAGAACATGTGAATGGTTTCTCTCCAGTGTGGGTCGTCATGTGTTGATTAAGGTTGGATAGTCGGCAGAAACTCTTCCCACACTGAGTGCAGATGAATGGTTTCTCTCCAACGTGGATCATCATATGTTGACTAAGGTTGGATGATCGGCTGAAACTCTTCCCACACTGAGTGCATGTGAATGGTTTCTCTCCAGTGTGGATCACCATGTGTTCATTAAGGGATGATGAATAGCTGAAGCTTTTCCCACACTGAGTGCAGGTGAATGGTTTCTCTCCAGTGTGGATCCTCATGTGAATCTTAAGATCATCTTTTCCTCCACAACTCTTTCTACACTGAGTGAAGGTGAAATGACTCCTGTCTCTTGGTTTCAAAATACTGTAAGTCTGTATATGATTTTTTTCCTCAATTTTGACATGATGTTCCTCCTCTTTACTTACCACATTCTCTTCAATTAGGTCTGAAAAAAAGTAAAAATCAGGTTTTTATTACGTCTTTTAAACTCTCATCAAAAGCTGAAGTCAAAAGGCGCTAAAAACATTGGCTATACAAGCTGTAATTTTGATTTAAATTCTGTTGATCATCAGTTACAGTGCAAAAAAAAGCTTAGTTTCTACCTTTTATATGAAAAGTTTTCCCCGTTAAAACATAACTGGTTTATCACACCCAAGTTTAATTTCTGTAGCCACACCCAGACCTGATTACTCAGACCTGCGAGTGAAAACAGCACAAATGTTAGGGAATGCCAACATTTCTCTTTAGACCCCAGGCAGAGGGTTAAATGTTTAACAAATCTCCTTTTACTGAGCATTTGATCAAAACATGGGAATAAAAGACAACTGAGCTTCACTCCACATTTATTACCTTGAGAACAAAAATTGTATTTTACTTTTCTCTGTCTTCATATAAAATTGTTTGTTTTTGTGCTTGTTTAATGAATCAGATCAACTGTTCAAAGCTTCTCATCATTATTCTTCTTCAGGCTTATTAATGAAGAATCAGGAATAAACACCAACCTATTTGTTGTTCAGTATCTTCAGGTTTAATTCTGCAGGGTTCTGGATCACTCATGTTCTCACTGTCCTTCAGTAAACTCTTCACTTGAGCCTGATGGGAATATTCTAGTGTTTATAATGAAAACACTTGCATTAAATATTCAGCATATAATTTGCAATCACAACTGTTTCTTAAACATCAATAATTGTATTAAAACATACAAACAACAACACTGATACAAAGTTTTATAAAGTATTTACAATGATACTGTAAAATTACTCCAGAAAACACCTTTTCTAAACATCTTCCTCAAAATGTTTCCTGGATTAAAACACTCTCTAATATCATTTTAAAAATACATCCTATTAAAATATGTTTTATCATCACAATATTCTCACACAAGCTACAAATAGGTGTTTCTCCCCTGTTCAATAAATGTGTGTGTAAGTCTTGAGTGGCCGATTCTACATCTCATGTGTGCAGCGTGATCATGTCTCTGATTGCTTACATTTATCTCTCAATATTTTAATGAATTAAGTGTTTTATATTATTATACTAATCCCAAATTCTGTTTTACTGCAAAATAAAGCGTTTGCGTCTCTTCAAGAGTTTACACAAGCATATGTTCAGTTAAACAGTCAATATTCAATATAATCAGCATTAAACTACCTCTTAGTGAATGAATTAGATGGAGACACAAATGAAAGGTGTCCAGATAACCCGTGAGTAAGACATTACAAGAGTGTTTACAGCGTAGCATCGAGCTAAAAACAAGAGAGTATATTAGCATTGAGCACATATGTTAAAGCGGTTCAAACCGCAAGATGATTCCCGCAAGTCTGCGAACGCTACTATGGTCAGATATCATACACTTACTCTGAACAGACGAACAACACCTGTAACAGAAGAGGAATTAAACACATTAAACGTCAAACAGCAAAGTTCTGCTCTCTCCGATCTCCGCCTCAGAATTAGCGCCGTGGGCGGGATATTTGCCTGCACGTTGATCAGCGAAAGCCGATTGGCTGCCTGTAGCAGGTTCTGAGAAAGCTGATTGGCTGCCTGTAGCAGGTTCTGAGAAAGCTGATTGGCTGCCTGTAGCAGGTTCTGAGAAAGCCGATTGGCTGCCTTCAGTTAGGAGAAATAGTAAGTGGTTTGTTTTGGGAGTGCACCTATTATGAAGTGTTTTGGGTTGACTTTATATTTTCTTAAAAATGTTTAAACTACGTTAAGCGTTTTAGAATGTAGAAACTTAATTTAGCTTAGCATTAATTTAATCTTTAGCTTAACTTTTAACTTGCTTCCATGTAACAGAGTCAAAACTAACATTATATTTCAGTCAGGATAGCGTGACATTTGCCTCTTAATACCTTTATCTTGGTTTTGAGTGATACATTCTGAAAATATGAACTGATAAAGAAGGAAAGAAACATAAATAAAAAAACATATACCCATGAGAAGTGCATGTTAATGTCCACTATCAATCTGAGGTAAAACTGGCCTGTGATATCTAATAGTTATATATGGTCTTTCTCCAGTGCAGGCATGGGCCGGTATATGATTCTGACAGTATGATAACCTTGGATAAAAATATCACGGTTTGATGTTTTGACGGTATTGTGCTTACTGCTCTAATATTCACTCTTTTTAAATGTCTGAGTAAAATACTCAAACTTTTTCCCCCTTTAAAAATAAATATTTTATTTTGAGAAACATTTAAAATATTGTGGAGCAGTAAACATGTCAGACTGAATAATTCAAATGAATCTTTGGCTTCTGCTGTCTTCATTAGTTTCAGAAACAGATTTATTCACAGTTTAAAAAGACAATTTAGGAGATCTTTTCTGCTGGAGATACTGTTGTCCTAAAAAAACAAAGAAAAAAACCCTGACATACACAATAGGAACGGTAAAGCAGAAAATTTGGTCAGCTTTAAAACCTTGACTTTTCCAAACTGCAGTATACCTTTGTAGTGGCTATTTTCTTTAAGGAGGCTCTCTCAGTGGTAAAGAAGACAAAGTCTTACCCAAAGTGTCTTTTAAAGTTTTATTCTTTGCAAAGAAGATCAGACAATCATACAGCAACACAGATTTCTGCAGAGTGTGAGACCAATAGCAGAACACCCACAAGGATATTAGTGACATACAGCAGTGGTTCCCATCCTTTCTTTGCCAGAGACCCTTTTTTTCATGGAAATTACTGTAAGGCCCCCTCCACATTTAATACCATCATCACTCATATAAGTTTGCAGTAGGGATGAAAAAAATGTTGTTTTCAAACAAACAGTGTGTTTATTACAATATCTAGACATGTTTATGCACAAACAATAGCCTACTGTAAAATATAAAGCAAACCATCAGCAGGTCACTTGTAACTGAAAAAAACATAAGCCTTTGGCCTTTAAATTGACCCTATTTGAAATTCAATGACAAAAATATCAGTATTCACACTCGTGTATATCCTCCTCAGACCTCCTCAGAAAATCTGTGATTTTCTACATCCTTTGGGTTAAAAAAAAAAATTCTACAATTTAGAGTTTTTACATTTTGTTTTTATTTGAAATCTTACAGCATGTCCACTGTAGTGGACCGCAAGACCATTTTAGTTCAAAACGACCGGCACTCAGACAATAAAACTGTACAGGATATGACTGTACAGGGATATGAATCCAACATTATTGTAATCTTTTCCTTTTGTATTGAAATTCCTGAAACAGATTCGTCTGAGAGCCAAAAAAAAAAAAAAAAAAAACAAACAAACGAGAAAGTGATGTTAATCCAAAACAAATTTAACTTAAAAGAGATTTAAAACTGATTGTCATTCTCTAATTGTCTCCAATTGTCTGATTGTTACATTCTTAAGTCAGAGTCTCCATCAACTCTCTAATAAAGAATCCCCTCTACTTCAGTTCTGTCTCCTACAACATGCAGTCAGTAGCCCCTTTCACACATACAAACCTTTCCGGAAAAATACCAGCAATTTTCCAGTAGGCGTGTATGTGTGAACAGGCCCTTTTTGAAAATACCGGTAAATTCGTTCTGGTTATTTTCCGGAAAGAGAAGTTGTAACTTTACCGGTAATTTGCTGGAATGCTGCGCTGAACGCGGAAGCAAGATTGCCGGAAAGAGCTGGTTCACGTCTAGAACGTGCTGACGTAAGACTTCTGCTTTAGCCAATCAGAACAGTCAGACGCATTCACGTCCGCGCGGTTTATAAAAATAAAAGCCTTTAAATATTTTTCCAGACACATTTACAGTAGCTGCTGGATGTTAGTCAGATAACGTTTATATGCTCCTTCTTAATGCCAACTGTGTAAATAATTATCGATGAGATGCTTATTATAGGCTGTTGTTTGTTTGCTTTGAAGCTCTGCTTCCTTCAGTTGCTTGACGCATCGCGTGTGCCTGTCAAGGAACCGGTGAGCGACAGCACACACACATATCATGTAAATCTTAACATGCGAAAGTGTTCCTCCATACGTTTTTATCGAAGTTGTTCACATTATTTATCCATCCACAGAGTTTGTAATGTAGTCAATTGTTTACAAGTAAAAGCCGTTTAGAGGTCATTTCTGGGTAATGATGTCAGAATTTACCGATATTTTAAAATGGATGTGTAAACGTTCTTTTTCGGAAAAAAATCTGTAAAATAGTCATCTGTGTGAACAGCGCTTTTTAATTTATCAGTAAAGTCGTTTCGGAAATTTTACGGTATCACTTTGTGATAGGGGCTAGTAATTACATTAAGATGGTCCTGGTGGACATTAAAAAAAGGATGATATTTTGAAACACAAACAGTTTACAGCTTTGAAAGATAAATGTATTGTTCCTGACCCTTTAATAAACAAATATATATGTAACAATAATAATAGTATGTAACAATAATAATAATAGTAATAATAGTAGTAAAAAACTTTTAAAAATCAACATTTGACATCCCTCTCTCCTTCCCATAAAATGTGCTCGTTTGTGTGTCAGCCATTTTGGATGCAGTGTAAGAAGTGGTTCCTAGCATGCCAGCCAATCAAATGACACATCACTAGAAAGCCCAGGATGTCCTCTGAACAGTACAACAGGACTTGATAGAGTAGCTCAAAAAAATGAAAATTCATGAAAACACTGTCCACTACAGAGGACACAAGTCAATGGGCCGGGTCTCAGGAGTATAAGGGGGAAAAACATAATATAGAATATTACAATTTAATTCATGCATGTTGTTTGTTAAGCAGGTCACACACCAGAAGCGCCGCTTGGCTGTGCGCCGCGCCATGTATCTTAGAATTCTAAACATAGGTTTCCATCAGGATACACACACCGGTGCCGCAAGTCGGCGGCGCTCGGCGACGGCTCAGGACGCAGTTCATTTTTCAGCCACGCCACAGAGCGCCATCTGATTAGTTTCATGCTAAATATCATTCGAATTTGCGCGTCTGGTGTGCGATACTTTAAACTGTCATGTGCGCGCCGTGTCGCGGCGCCAAGCGGCGCTTCTGGTGTGCGACCTGCTTTATGCTCTTTCAATTAGTGAGAGGATTGCTGTGAGGCGGATCAGTGAGACTCTGGCTGCGTCCAAAACCGCCTACTACTCAGTAGGTACATGATTTGAATGTAAACGTACAACTTGGCCATTAAAAAAATTATGTTCTATACAGTATGAATGTGAAAAGACCTACTACATCTGCCATTTAGTCATAGTTACGTGACCTACCTGCGTCAGTTGCGTCGCTTTACTCCCATTCATGAATTCTCTCTCAGGGCATCACGGTATAGCGCAGCATGCATGGGATGCGCACTCCAGAATCTCCCCGGAAGTAGTAAGTCATCCGGGTACTTCTCGCATACTGATTTTCGAATTCTATGAATTCGGACATACTACTCGGCTCGCATACTGATTTTAGCGTACTGTATAGTATGGAAGTATGCCGTTTCGGACGCAGCCTCTGTCTTTTTTGTGAAGGACGGATTACAAATTTGTCCATTTTTGGTCTGCTACGGCAGTGGACAATATTACCCCGGACCGGGGGGTTGGGGGTGTTTCGATGTTTCATAGGTTGCCTGGTGACCAATAACCATTTTCCCAATGGATGACAAGCTGCCAAATCATTGCTGTCACTCTAATACAAGTTTTATTCATGGAGAAAAGCACAAAGGACTGCAGTGTTTGTGTGTTCTGAGTTTGTCTGAGAAAATGAGTCTAACCGAAATGTGATTATTTTATACAAGCTGAAGCTGATCGATGGATTCTTGTCACGTGACTTGCGGTGAGTCACGGGCGTGAGCGCGTTACGCTGCGAATCCATACCTTGGCAGTTTGTGGGTTGTTCACTTAGCCTTTTCCCCTTAGCAAAGACACTTTCCAAAGACGTCTGTTTCTTGCTCATTTTGCTACTTGTAGGTTAAATTTGAGCGCTCAAGTGACTGAGATGCAAGCAAGAGAATACGGTCATTTTTCAAAACAAAAGATCGTTCAGACTCAGATAATAAATAAAATGGAAATAATTAAGGATTTCTTGTGCGGCCCGCTACCAATTGAACCACGGACCGATGGTTGAGGACCACTAAGCCAGGGGATAAAATGAACTAAAGCTACATGATCATTTTCTTAATTGTCTACTGCTAAGAAATGTTTAAAATATGACACACAACCCCCCCACTAAGCTCGCTGAGTCCCCCAAGGGGTCCTGGACCCCCCTGTTGGAAACCACTGACATACAGTATGAATCAGTTACATCAACGCTCATACTTCATTTCTGACCATCTATATTTCAGCTTTACCTCTCACCCAAACTTATATCTTGTTAAATCATCACGTATCCAGATCTTGTCTGGTGATAAACAGATGTTAAAGTGGTCACGTATTGCCTAGCTGTGTAATGTATACAGAAAGGTAGAAAATGAACAGTTGTTAAACTAGTCATATATGGTCTAAATTAAACAGTACATAGAGATAAAAAGAATAACAGACCTTACTATGTATACAACCGAGTATATAAAATGAACATAAGAAGAATAAAATGAATTTTCCACCACACCTTGAAAACCGTTATCGTTTCATGTCTACTCCAGTGTGGACCTTCAAGTGTAGTTTAAGATGTGAAGATTTGCTGAATCTCTTCCCACACTGAGTGCATCTGAACGGTTTCATTCCAGCGTGGACCTTCATGTGTCTATTAAGGACTGATGTTTGTCGGAAACTCTGCCCACACTGAGTGCATGTGTATGGCTTCTCTCCAGTGTGGATCCTCATGTGTTGATTAAGGGATGACAACATGCTGAAACTCTTCCCACACTGAGAACACGTGAATGGTTTCTCTCCGGTGTGGATCCTCATGTGCTGACTATAGTTTGATGATAAGGTGAAGCTCTTCCCACACTGAGTGCATCTGAAGGGTTTCTCTCCAGTGTGGATCCTCATGTGTCCCTTAAGGGTTGCTATTTTTCTGAAACTCTTCCCACACTCAGTGCATGTGAATGGTTTCTCTCCGGTGTGGATCTCCATGTGTCCCTTAAGGGTTGATGTTTGTCTGAAACTCTGCCCACACTGAGAACATGTGTATGGTTTCTCTCCAGTGTGGATCCTCATGTGTTTAATAAGGTATGACGAGATGCTGAAACTCTTCCCACACTGAGAACATGTGAATGGTTTCTCTCCACTGTGAATCCTCATGTGTTGATTGTAGTTTGATGAGAAGGTAAAACTCTTCCCACACTGAGTGCAGGTGAATGGTTTCACTCCAGTGTGAATCATCATGTGGTCATTATAGTTTGATGAGAAGGTGAAACTCTTCCCACACAGAGTGCATGTCAATGGTTTCTCTCCAGTGTGGATTTTCTTGTGTGTATCAAGGCTTGATATTTGTCTGAAACTCTTCCCACACTGGGTGCATGTAAATAGTTTATCTTCAGTGTGGATCTTCATGTGTCTAATGAGGATTGATGATTGGCTGAAGCTCTTCCCACACTGAGTGCAGGTAAATTGGTTCTTGCCTCTCGTTTGCAAAGTATGTAAATGAATTTTTTCCTCAACTTTGACATGATGTTCCTCCTCTTTACTGGCCACATTTTCTTCAATTAGGTCTGAAATAAAAAAATGATCAGTTTTTTAAGTCAAAAGTCAAAACACACTAAAACATGAGCCGCATTTCCACTGTCGGGCTAGTACCAATAGCCTGGGAGCTTGAGCAGTGAGGCTGAAATCATGTTGTGTTTCCACTGTCGGGCTAGTAGAGCACGCCGCAGCTCGCAAACCTTGCCCCCAGAACGTCCCCCGAATCAAACGCCATACACGCCACCAAGTTCAGTGAGTTTTGTTATAAACAGGTCGTTTTTGTTTCAGTCATATACATTAAATGTTTAAATATCTATTGCATAATGGTACTACTTATATCATTTCACCATCTGTACACCAATATAAATAGTGAATGTGTGTGTCTGTGGGTGGGGCTGTGTCGGTGTGGTAATGTGGCCTGATGTGGCTACAGTGCCAGGGCTGATTTTTTTTATCCCAGTCCGCCCCTGGTTACAATGCAAAAAGCTTGATTGATTATTTGGCGTTACTGCCTCACCTGTTAGCAATCAAGTAATCACTTCTGAATTGAACCTGCCTGACAAAGTGAAGTAGACCAAAAGAGCCTCAAAAGCTAGACAACATTCCGTGATCCAAATAAATTTAAACACAAATGAGAAAGAGTTATAAAGGTTATAAAGTCATTTCTAAAGCTTTGGGACTGCAGCGAACCACAGTGAAAACCATTTATAGATAATGCCAAAAAACACTGAACAGTGGAGAACATTCCTGGGAGGTCAACTGCTCAAAGCTTTTCATCATTATTGTTCTTCAGGCTTATTAATGAAGAATCAGGAATAAACACCAACCTATTTGTTGCTCAGTATCTTCAGGTTTAATTCTGCAGGGTTTTGGATCACTCATGTTCTCGCTGTCCTTCAGTAAACTCTTCACTTGAGCCTGATGGGAATATTCCTGCATTTATAACAGAAACACTTGCATTAAATATTCAGTACATAATTATATATATATATATATATATATATATATATATATATATATATATATATATATATATATATATATATAATCATAACTGTTTCTTAAACATCATTAATTGTATTAAAACATACAAAATACAATAAGTCTTATAAAGTCTTTCAGTCTGATCAATGATAAATATTGTAAAATTCCTCCAGAAAACATATTTCTAAACATTTTCCTCAATATATTTTTTGGATTAAAACACTCTCTAATATCATTTTAAAAATACATCCTATTAAAATATGTTTTACGATCAAAATATTCTCACACAAGCTACAAATAGGTGTTTCTCCCCTGTTCAATAAATGTGTGTGTAAGTCTTGAGTGGCCGATTCTACATGTCATGTGTGCAGCGTGATCATGTCTCTAATTGCTTACATTTATCTCTCAATATTTTAATGAATTAAGTGTTTTATATTATTATACTAATCCCAAATTCTGTTTTACTGCAAAATAAAGCGTTTGCGTCTCTTCAAGAGTTTACACAAGCATATGTTCAGTTAAACAGTCAATATTCAATATAATCAGCATTAAACTACCTCTTAGTGAATGAATTAGATGGAGACACAAATGAAAGGTGTCCAGATAACCCGTGAGTAAGACATTACAAGAGTGTTTACAGCGTAGCATCGAGCTAAAAACAAGAGAGTATATTAGCATTGAGCACACATGTTAAAGCGGTTCACACCGCAAGATAATTCCCGCAAGTCTGCGAACGCTACTATGGTCAGATATCATACACTTTCTCTGAACAGACGAACAACACCCGTAACAGAAGAGGAATTAAACACATTAAACGTCAAACAGCAAAGTTCTGCTCTCCGCCTCACAATAAGCGCTGTGGGCGGGACGTTTGCCTGCACGCTGATCAGCGAAAGCCGATTGGCTGCCTGTAGCTGGTTCTGAGAAAGCTGATTGGCTGCCTGTAGAAATAGTAAGGGGCTTGTTTTGGGAGTGGACCTATTATGAAGTGTTTTGAGTTGACTGTATATTTTCTTTAAACATGTTTAAACTACGTTAAGAGTTTTAGAGTGTAGAAACTTAATTTAGCTTGGCATTTGCTTAATTTTGAACTTGCTGTCATGTAATGTTAACGGAGTCAGGGCTAATGTTATATTTCAGTCAAGATAGCGTGACATTTGCTTCTTAACACCTTTATCTCGGTTTTTGTGTGAAACACTCAAGAGAACCGACAAAGGTAAGAAACATAAATAAGGAAATAAACATATACCCATGGGAAGTGTTTAGTTGACACCATGGGAATGTCTACTATTAATCTGAGGTAAAACTGGCTTGTGATATCTAGTTTTATTTGAATCAGGGCCAAACAGTGTTTTGTGTAAGATTTAAAGGGCTCTTATTTTATAACTTTACATCAGATGCCCATGAGAAGTGTTTAATAGGTTATATAAGCATGCTAATAGGACTTTTAATTTGCTAGTAACCTGGGTTAACCGCTTCCAGTGAACTCTATGACAATGCAAAATCGGCGCATTTAAGGTCTGTTTTTTAATAAATTATCGATTTATTGTTAAATATGGAAATAAAAAAAATAGAGTTTTTGCCATATCGCCCTGCCCTACTCTTCATGTGTGTATGATGATGTGTTGATCGTCTTAAACTGAGAACATGTAAATGGTTTCTCTCCAGGGTAGGTATAGACCGGTCGGTATAAGACTCTGACAGTATGATAACCTTGGATCAACATATCACAGTTTATCAGTATTGTGATTACTGCTCTAATATATGTTATTTTTAAATGGGTAAAAAAACTTCCCCCTTTGACCACAAAATATTTTATTTTGAGAAACATTTTAAATATTTTGGAGCAGTAAACATGTCAGGCTGAATAATTCAAATGAATCATTGACTTCTGCCGTCTTCATTAGTTTCAGAAACACAGATTTATTTACAATTTAAAACAGCATTTTAGAGATCTTTTCTGCTGGAGATACTGTTGTACTAAAAAAAAAAAAAAAAAAAAAATACGAAACAAAATATCTGTCATATTTCACAGGAACTGCTAGCAGAAAATTTTGTCGGGTTTCCAAACCACGGTATACCTTTGTAGTGGCTATATTCTTTAAGGAGGCTCTCTCAGTGGTAAAGAAGACAAAGTCTTACCCAAAGTGTCTTTTAAAGTTTTATTCTTTGCAAAAAAGATTAGACAACCATACAGCAACACAGATTTCTGCAGAGTGTGAGACCAATAGCAGAATGTGTTACACCCACAACGTAATTATTGACATACAGGATGAATCACAGTTACATCAACGCCCATACTTTATTTCTGACCATCTATATTTCAGCCTTACCTCTCACCCAAACATATATCTTGTAAAATCACGTATCCAGGGGTCCGTTCTTCGTACCTCGCTTAAATGATCTAAGATGATTTGGCAGATCCTGGATCTTTTAATCTTGATAACTGATCTCTCGCTAATTTGGTTCTTCAAACAATTTCGCGAATCAGATTAGAATGTTTGGATGAACTGATCTGAGATCCCTGCGTGTGTTATGAAGAACAGATCTATCGATCCTCGAAATCATGATCAGCAATGCAACGATTGGCTGACGGCACAGCAGCGTAATGACATCATCTGATTAATATTCAATTAGCCATGGGAGCAAAATTACATCAAATTAGCAGTAAACGGTTTGTTAAATATGACACGCAATAACCTTCCACATTTGTTGTGAGCTGCAGGCTTTACACTTTCATGAGTCAAGAGTATTCATCATGTATTTTAATGCAAATCAATGTATTTAGTTCTACATTTAGAAAATATTTTCTTTATTATTGTAGCCGTTTTTTAATCGGTGTAAAGAATAACTGGTTGTTTACAAAAGCATTTTCATATTGGTAAAGGCGTCTGCAACTTTTGTGAAGCATCAAATCACTGGCATATTAACTGTCAAAACATGTTTATGACTGCATAAATGTATTATTGCTTTCTAAAAAAAAGTCACATATTGTGCATGTTTATTATACACAATTTGTACTAAAGCGATCTAAAAAGTTCAAATCAGTTTTCTCTGTGCACCACCAGGTGGCAGTCTTTGTACTTTCATTTCGAGGGTGCAGATTGCATAAGTTTAATTAATATATATAACTTTATTTATTTTATTAATAACTATAACTTATTTATATATATATATATATATAGTTAAAAAATATGTACCATTTTCCTAAGTGTATATAGCTACTACTGTAAGAAAATATCAGAATTCGGAACATACTTTCTGTATTATCTTTGCTTGAACTGAGCCGATCTAATCCTGTTTATATGAATTGAACCTGCTCCCGATCAGGTTTGACCTAGCAGAACTGTTGCTATGACAACAACTCTCGGATCAGCTTTGAAGAACGAAACGATCCTGGATCGTGTCAAATCGTCAATATCCAAATCCAGCTAACTGAGTAATCCACGTACAAAGAACGGACCCCAGATCTTGTCTGGTGATAAACAGATGGTAAAGTGGTAACGGTTTGCCTAGCTGTGTAAAGTATACAGAAAGGTAGAAAAGAAACAGTCATTAAACTAGTCATGTATGGTCTAAATTAAACAGTACATACATAAGCCGCTTTTCCACTATTGCGCTGAATCATTCTTTAAGCAGAACTGTTCCATTCAGTGCCAAACAGCTCGGACACGGTTTCATTTTCCACTGTCGTGCTGCAACGAAGGTCTTTGAAATATTACACAAAGCGCATCAGTAGTTGCCATGGCAACGCAATGTAAACAGCTCCCTTTGTTCAATAAAATTTAATAATAGCCGAAACTAGTTTTTTCATGTTCATAAAAGCAAAAGCAACCATGTGACTGAGCACTGTTATGCTGCTCTATCAAATAGAGGTGGCTAAATATCGGTACATGTCACAGCACCCTTATTTATTTAGAGGTCATATGTTGCGCGGCTCTGGTTTAATTTAATTTGGAGGGAAAATTTCCAAAATGTAACGTGAGGATTGAAAATGATTGGAGGGGAAATAAATAATATATTTCAAATCTCTGAACATAACAGA